TATCCCAGTTGATTTCAGGTAAGTTAAAGTCCCCACATAGGATCTTATGATCGTATTGTAAGTCGGATAATTGCTCCAGAGTATTAATAAGTTGGGTCTCGTAATTACTAAAGGTGCCAGGTGCTCTGTAGGTGCATCCAATTAATGCTGTTACGTTATTTAAGTGTACATTAACCCATAGAGTCTCAGGCATGTTAAGTGTACTACTTTCTAGCTGTGATACAGTAAGTGCATTCAGAAAGTACATGAGACAACCCCCTCCCTTACCACCTTCCCTGTCACACCGAAAGTGTGTGTAGTTATCTAAGCTTATTTCTTCATCCAGGATGTTCGAATGACACCAAGATTCAGTGATGACAATTACAGGGGGTTTGTATATTACTGTGAGTGCTCTGAGCATCGGCAATTTATTTAGAACAGATCTAGCATTTATGAGGATTAGGTAAAGATGAGAGTTGAAGTAGCATTTGAAGTATTTAAGTTCGTTAGTCAGCCCCGAATATGGTTCAGCACCCAGTAGTTCTGCTGGACATGACGATCCTATGTTAAGAGGGGTTTCAGCATCATGCTCACCTATGTCTATCGAGTTGGTGTGTGCTGTTTTCGGTGAAGAATTAGGAGTTGGAGTACTGGATTTGCTATAGACTAAGGAATTTTTATTTTTAGTTGGGTTACAGAAGTGGGTAGGGTTCTTTATTTGACCTATATTTGTGCAGGTGTCAAGTGTGCCCAATGGATACGTGTGCACTAGACCGTTCCTGTTTTCATGCAAGGAGGGAGCCAGCTCTAGTGGTTTAGGAGTGTTAACATCCCTACCAGCTGTTTTTTCAACGCTGACAGGGACGCGGGGGATAAAAAATGATTGGATCCTTTGATGACCATGGCTTATTATTCCACCTATTGTTTGATGCTAGTTGTGTCCTTGTGTGGGTTTCATGTGTACTGCATTGTGGGTTAGTTCCCAGCAGACTTGTACCATATATCCGGTCAAAATTTGTTTGTGTGCCATACTCTGAAGACCCTAAGTTGTTGATATCCGAGTTCTGACTATTACCACTTGTACTATTGAGGGTGACATTGTTGTGACATTGGATATCAGTGTGTGCCATGATGCGATTATTTGACCTATACTTGTGCAAGTGTCAAGTGTGTCCAATGGATACGGGTGCACTAGACCGTTCCTGTTTTCATGCAAGGAGGGAACCAGCACTAGTGGTTTAGGAGTGTTAACATCCCTACCAGCTGTTTTTTCAACGCTGACAGGGACGCGGGGGATAAAAAATGATTGGATCCTTTTGATGACCATGGCTTATTATTCCACCTATTGTTTGATGCTAGTTGTGTCCTTGTGTGGGTTTCATGTGTACTGTATTGTGGGTTAGTTCCCAGCAGACTTGTACCATATATCCGGTCAAAATTTGTTTGTGTGCCATACTCTGAAGACCCTAAGTTGTTGATATCCGAGTTCTGACTATTACCACTTGTACTATTGAGGGTGACATTGTTGTGACATTGGATATCAGTGTGTGCCATGATGCGATTATTTGACCTATACTTGTGCAAGTGTCAAGTGTGTCCAATGGATACGGGTGCACTAGACCGTTCCTGTTTTCATGCAAGGATGGAACCAGCACTAGTGGTTTAGGAGTGTTAACATCCCTACCAGCTGTTTTTTCAACGCTGACAGGGACGCGGGGGATAAAAATTCATTGGATCCTTGTGATGACCATGGCTTATTATTCCACCTATTGTTTGATGTTAGTTGTGCCCTTGTATGGGCTTCGTGTGTTCTGCATTGTGGGTTAGTTTCCAGCAGACTTGTACCATATATCCGGTCAAAATTTGTTTGTGTGCCATACTCTGAAGACCCTGAGTTGTTGGTAGCCGAGTTCTGGCTATTACCACTTGTACTATTGAGGGTGACATTGCTGTGACATTGGATATTACTGTGTGCCATGGTGCGATTTAGCACTTTGTGAGTGCTAATACTAATGACCGTGGAGAGTGTGGGCTTATTTAAGGTGCCACTGTTTTTGTTGGTATGATTTACGGACATATTTTCCTTATCTTTACCAATGGGGTCATGGCTAGGAGAGGACAAAGTCGAATTTAAGGGGGTTTTGGCTTTTTTTCTGGGGTTATTTAGTGGCATTTTAGATTCTGCGGTGATGTGTTGTATGGTTTTGTTATTTATTTGGTTACAGTCTAGTGGCCATTCAGCTGGTGTTGCACTCTGATTGGATAATTCTGTGTGTTTTGAGAGGGGTGATGCGGTGGAGTCTACTGTATCTTTCATAGGGTTGGGAATAATGGCTGCTTGCAATGTCCTATTACTTATTTCCCATTAAGTCTTAGCGCGACAAATGTATGCGCGCCTTTCTATGATTGTTTTGTCCACCCCGACCTTTATATGTTTGTAGTTTCTGGCTTGCGATAGGGTGTGTTGGAAGTGGATGAATTTTCTGGTCTCTGCCGGCGTTTCGAACTGAAAACGAATATTAATATTATTATTGCTCCCTTGGGTTCCTAGTGGAACATAGGGCCTCAACTGCACATCTCCATTTTCTTCTGTCTTCTGCTGTACTTTTCGCCTTCATCCATGTTAGTCCATATTCTTTCAACTCCTCTTCACACGATCTCCTCCATGTCACCCTTGCACTGACGTCCTACACGCCGCTTCCCTTTCGGGTTCCACTCGAGCAATGGCCTGACGCGCGCGCGATGTCACCCAGCGATCACCTCAGCGAGTGTCCGATCAATCTCCACTTTCTCCTGCATATTTGTTGGGCGATTGGTTCTTGCTTTGTTTGTTCCCATAATTCCTTGTTGGTGATTCTTTCCGGCCATCTGATCTTCAGTATAGAGCCAGCGAAGACAGTTGTTAATAAAGGTCTGCAACAGGCTGTTGGAAATATTCTTTGTGACCCGCCAAGTTCCTGATCCGTATAGAAGAACTGACTTTACGTTTCTATTGAAAATCCGAATTTTGTTGGTGATGCTGAGTGACGAAGATTTCCAGATTGATTTCAAGGTGATGAGCTTGTTTCTCGCCTTCCCGATTCTCGATATGACATCCTTGTACGCTCCTCCTGTAGCTGAGAAAATGCTCCCTAGATAAGTGAATCAAGTAGCCTCTTTCAAATCCTCCCGATGATGGTGATTACCAGAGCAGGTTGTTGCTGTTGTAGCTTGGTTATTTTAAGAACCACTGACACCAAAGTCTCGTAAACCGTCAATGCCCAGCTCTTGCTACGCTGGGACTCACGCTGTTCCTTGAAGTTTCTCAGAAACGCTTCGTTATAACGGACGAAAAAACCAAAACACCGATTGGCCGCTCGAGAATTCTTTGTTGTAACACCAACATATAGCCAGCTTTAAAATTAAGCTTTGAAACTAAGGTCTGTGAACAAATATTACAATAATAAATCATAAGATTACTTCTGATGGTTTGCTACTGACTTCTTTCTGAAGAGCGACGGATGAGACGATGACTGTCGTATTGATGCCTCCGCGAAAATCGGGGAAGTTGGTTTTGAGCAAACAACCATGAATTGATCGTTCAATCTTCAACTACATTCACAACAATAATGAGTGTATTTTAGGGAATTTTCGCGTGCGTTTCGGATTTTGAGGGTGATTTTTACTTCCCAGCTGCCCACGCCTTGGAAGTTGTTTGCGTTACCGCAGAGCCCAGGGGACAACTGCTTGAGGCCTTTCACACGCGGCCTGTTTTTGTTTGTTTTTTATTGTATGGTGTGTCTCAGTAGCATATTTATCATTCCTGCCCTGTGACACGGCAGCAGGAAGCGCAGTCGTTTTTAATCAGGCCTCCGGCCGGTCCGGCATGATATTTTGTGAGTTTGTATTTATCATGGTTTTTGAACGCTATCCAAACAACCTTTCTGGCACGGTAAGACCTCAAGAGACATAAGTCTCGGCCAGTATCGCTTGATTAGGTCATTGCGGCGTTCAATTCCGACCACCAAGTCAAGGTAGCAGCTTTCGGTCGGGTTTAGCCGTGGTCGGCTTAGGGGGATTCGATTACTATATACAAGGCAACACATGACTAAAATCACCCAAACAACGGCGTTCTGCCATTGAGTAGGTATGAGCTTCCCCGTGGAAACCCCAAAAGGTTAGCTCAACGGAGGGCAAGGACCCGGTCGCGCTCCCACTTCTTTTCACTGTGGGCTCGCCGTCCCTGGATTACCTTGCCGTCAGATATAGCTATGACACCGTCTGTGAGCAGCTTTAGCGAAAGCTGGACAATCATGCAGCGACACAACGACTGCGTCCAAATGGCCTATCCCCTTCAAAATCCCATGGACCATTAATGGGTAGATATATAAATTCATCGTCTTATTTCCTTACATTCTCTCCTGTATTATTCTTCCAACTACTCCAACTAATACACTTACGCTGATTATTGCTATTACTGATTTTGTTTACACATATATTTCAAATTCAAACCAAATCAGCTGTCTGTTTTTACGTTTTCTTGATTTCTTTTCTATCTTTTAGTCTGAATGACCTACACTCATTATATCTATTACTATTATTATTGCCTCTTTTCTTTTGACGACGATACCGGAGGACTAACTGGTGAAAGGTTGAACTCCATTCACAATAGTAACAGTCTTCACACACCGCATACTATAAACAACGTATAATTAATCGCAGCACTACTCCTTTTGGTGACAAACGAAGCGGGAGAACTACGCAGAAGTTTACGGATGACTAGGAACCTGTTGTGATTTTTTGTAATAGTAGTATTAGTATTTCGAGATGACCAAATTACAAGAATTCAACCAAAACATAGAGAGGGATGAATTCAGGAATTGCATTTGGCGGAATTATTATTCATTTCATATAAGAAATATATTAACAAGCATCAGTAAGTATTTAAGCAATACAGAGATGGAAATTGTCAATCACCACAGAACCTTTACCTCACACTCAAGAAGCGAGCACAAAGTAATCAAACTGGTTCATGCTAGCTCGTAAAAACGATATTGGATATTGGATATTACCAGCTACGTATTATAAGATATACGTTACAGTGTAAATGCCAAGGCCAATTTACATATTCCTTATCGTGGGCTAAAGAGTTGGTTATTCATCTGTTCTGTTACGTAGTTGCAGTGAACTGCCTCCACAGTTACTGGATTCATATCAGACTTCTCAGGTATTGTTTTAAGAAACAGGTTAAATTGAAGGACATTAAAATGACTGAAATTTTCGATAGGGCATGTTCCTGATATGCCAAAGTTCATTTGGTTTTGAATATAACACATACAAAAATTGATAATTTTGCAACCCACACTTATCACTAATTACTCCAATACCTGTGTGAAACGAAAGATATTTATGCTATTGACCCAGATTTCTCAACGTTCGAAACTTACATATCTCCTTGAAATGTATCGTATTATTTTTTCCATGAAACCATTTTCTGTAAATGCTATCCTATTTCCAATGAGAAACCAAATTGATAGAGCTAACTACTGGACTGATGTGTGGTGCTGCAGTAACTCACAGTCAGCTCCTAATTATATTTAATTTGATATTTCTCAGCGTCTGCCTTCTAAGTAGTAACTGTAAAGTGTAAAATCCTCAATACTATTCCTTTTGCGTGTCACATTTGAAATACTGGGAGAAATTCGTGTACCCACTATTGCACAAGTTTGTTTGACGTTCAGAAGTATCTAATTGTTGCTAAGGTCTTGCTGATTTGGCTGACTGTTCTTTTAGTTACTGAAATAATATAAGAGTGGTTGCAATAGCTTCATACAAGGACCAGTGTTGCAAGACTTCATAATCACGGGTCTAAAGAGTAAAGACATGTTGAGAGGGATATGCTATGAAGTAGGATGGTCAAACTGTTCAAATGTTGACTACTAACAGAATCACTGAATAAATATTGCACATATCGTGTTGAAATTTAGGAGGAGGAAACCAAAAGTAGTTGTTTGATGTTTAAACTGAGTTCTGGGAATGTGTATTTCATGTTCCAGGCAAGTGCAACATTTGTTAGGACTGGTAATACTACCCAGTTGTCCAAACTGGATTGGGTCGAGTGAGTTTTGAACCCAGGAGTCACTGGTTGGAAGTTGCTAGAAACTAGTGGTTGGGATTGTGTGGACTTAATAATTCATCAAGGTATTTCATCATAGTAAATTGACCTCATTACAGTGCACTGTTAACTAAATCACAAAGGGAAGTGGAAAGTCTTTGTTGTAAAGCTGGAATCCTTTTATGTTACCATGATATATTCAAATTTAAGTAATTGAGTCAACATAATGTCCGTGCCTGTAAATTGTGAATACTAGATTTAGGTCAGTATACTTTGCTTACGATTGCCGTAGTGAACGGAGGACATTGAGTTTAATTTGTTTATCAGTTACATTTAGTGGTATCAATCGGTCGATATAATGTACTCTCTTGCGCAGTCATCAAGTGATCATGCTACTTTCAACTTGTCTCCAGGCTTCAAATTTGTAAATGAAAATGTCCATTTCATTTTTCCTTAGTTTATGTGCTTTGGCAGTGCTTGCCTATTTGTGGGCATAGTTTCAAGAGACAAAAGATAGACTGTTTTTGATAGTCACAATAAGTTATTCGTCTAAACTTAGAGACTACATTGGTAGTTGGATAGTTTCACCAGAGAAGTTCACAATAAGTAACTGGTACCTCTGGCATTTTCATGCACCATTAAGGTGAAAGTTTTAAAAATAGCCTCATCATTTTTACTGTTCTTTATTCCTTTTGTTTATGCGTTCTTATAATTACTGGTACGTTTTTGTCAAAAACCAGCGCTAAGCGATATTTTTTTCGTTTTTTTCGTTTTTCGTTTATGATGAGGCACCATTTGCACCATATTCTAAAGCTAAATTTAAGCCCAGCTTATTCCGTATATTCACATAGATGTATCTGTGCTCCTACATGAAGACCTAAGAAGTGACATGCATTATTGTGCTTTCGTTCAATTGTATACTTAGCACGCACATTATTTTTGAAAGATTACTTACATTAAATCCACTGTTAACGAACCTTTAATTGAAGCATCTCTCTTTCATTGAACTCTTACCTGATATAAGAATAGAACCTGGGCAGTGTTGCGGAGTATAATTCCATTATGGAGAAAATTTTACTGATGATGTTTCGAGCACAATTCATCGCTCATAATCATATCTGACTTCGTTCATATGCATGAATGAAAAATTGACTAGACATATGAATGAATAAATCAAAGTTAATATAAAGTTCAATAGACATATGTGAAACAGAAGGGAAGATAAAGTGCATTTAGAAATAATATTAGTGTTATCAATAAAATATAATATGAGTCACCTTAGACACTAAGATTTTTTGTCAGTAAGTAAAATAAGCAAAAGCTTAGGGTGTGATAACGTCAACTGAAATAAAAACAAGAATTGAAATTGTTTCTTATGCTATAATGTGATTAGTAGTAATACCTCATTTATTTCTGGCATTTGTAATGAGTCACTTCTACTGCGTGTTTAGGACGTAGATTCCATGAACGAAGACTCAGTAATCAACCTTTCTCTCCACCTACCTATATTACTTACTTTTTAGAATTTTAACCCTCTTCCACCCTATTGTGTGGTTGTTTGTTAATGCATGCACTGTAATTGCTGAGCTTTATTCTAAATTACTTATCTTCGCGGGGTCAGTCATTCCTTACCTGGCTAAATTCCCATGTCCTGATAATCGGACTTTTCCCGATGTACTAAGTTTGGCCTATCTAGTTGACCATACAGTCATTGCAAGGTATTTTGTAAATTATGTTATTTTGTCTAATTGGATCAACAGGGTCGTTCGACCTACAGAGCTTGACCCTGAGTGATTTTGTGGTTTTAAATGCCACCCTAATTACTGCTTTATTAAGAATCCTACGTAGGGTCACAAATGTCCTCCCCCTATATGGTGAGACTGTAGATGCCTTATATTCTTTCTTATTTATGTTATCATTATTAGTTTCACCATTATTTTTATTTCGCTTTTGACCTTTTCTGATATACCTAATGGATGTTATAGGATAGCTGTTTAACACCAACTCTTCTTCTATGTGTTTCATCACATCACTTAGGTCCTTTTTGCACTACTTAGTTCTACTACTCGGTTTGTTAGACACTTAGCTAAACCTGCCTTTAAAGATAACGGATGGGATGAATTAAAGTTCAAATATCTATTAGGACGCGTTGGCTTTTTATAAACGCTAGTATGAAGTTAGTCTTTTTCCGTTCGTTTTATTTTACAATCTAACATAGCTAATTCTCCTTGTTCATTTTCTGATTCAAATGTGAATTTTATTCCCTTTACTGTTGAATCAGGAATACAAGAACTAACGCGATCAGAACAACAAGAGCAAAAAATTCACAGCTAGAGATGCAGCGACTACAACAACAAAAACTGTCGCAGTAATATCATTGTTAAATATAATTACCAAAAACGATATGAAAACCAAAGACCCACTTACTTAGGTTAACTTGGGCCTGTAAATCCAATAATACATACAATTATTAATATCAGTTAGTCACAAAGAGCCAAACAGTTAGTTAGAGACATTAGTAGTCAACAAGATTATATTCACAGATTCAGTATTCAAAGCTGAATGAATTACAATAATTTCCACAACTTCCTGGCCAGAAGCGCCAGAGAAATGAGAATTCTATGTAACCAAGCAAATGTAGTACACCAATCGAAAAGTGTGTGTGTGTGAAGAAGCTAGAGATATGTTCTGTTTTTAACACTGTGAAAGTGTCATCCACATACCTTCACTATAGCTTTGAAGTTAGATTAAATGTGTTAAGAGCTACATTTTCCCATAAAGATATCAGCAATTGGTGACATGGCTCGAAATCGTTCTCAGTGGCGTAGATTCATCCACTCCTTGTGACTTATGATTTCCAATGAAACTGTTTTGTTCTTCGTTATTACTCTTCCTTTGTCTCACACCTCTGCTTACTGTCTCTATTATGCTTTTCTTGTACTTTCTTGTCTTGGTTTGTGTGCTACATGGAGTGTGGCGACTTGAACTGCCGCACATATGTGCGAAGTTCTATGTCGAAAACAGACAGATAAAGATATCAGCTACGATAGGGGATATTGGTGATCCCATTGCTACACTTACTGTTTATCTGCATTTGCCCTGGAGTTTATAGACAGTAGACGTAAAGCATAATTGAATTTCTAAAATGATTTCCTCAATGGCCAGCTATGTTCTATGAATGAGTTCAGGATCAGCAGTTAGTTCTCTTTTAACTGCTTCTAAGGCTATATTGATTGGCATATTAGTATAAGGAATAATTATATTATAACTAACCATTTTGTTATTATTCTCTAATTGAAATTTATTTGGTCTCCTTTTCATATCTTATGAATTAGTTAACCTAGAGTTCGAATGATAGTGTGATATTATGCAGTTAACGAGATGACCGCCGTAGTAATAACTATTTTTCTTTTCACTGAAAACCAATCTTCAAATCTTTCAGTTTCAGTTTATCACAATTTCTTTGTCTTTTATTTGAATTTATGTAGTCAGCTGTAATAGCAGACCATTAAAAGTGATATTTGCGTTTCTAATTCTGCATTTATGAGTTGTTAAACTGAGTTTTTTACATAACATAAGTCTAAGGGACTCAAGATCAGATGGCCAGAAAAGATCAGCAACAGGGATCTCTGGGAGCGAACCAATCAGGAACCGATTGTGAAACAAATAGGCAGAAAGAAATGGAGATGGATTGGCCATACGCTGAGGAAACCATCAAGTGACATCACTAGACAAGCCCTCGAGTAGAACCCGAAAGGGAGGCGGCGAGTTGGTCGTCCAAGGGTGACTTGGAGGAGGTCATGCGAGGAGGAGATGAAAGCATGTGGGCAGACTTGGAGCAGGGTGAAAAAGTTGTCAGAAAACCGAAGGCAATGGAGGTGCGCAGCTGAAGCCCTATGTTCCTCTAGGAACTAAAGGATACAATAATAATAATAATAATAATAATAATAAGGGACTCTAGTGTCATACCAAAATCATTATAAGCCAATTTTTTCCCCATGACGACTACTTTAACTCTAATTACTTATAATTATAGCACCTAATGTTAAAAGCCAACTACATAGCGTGACTTGTGTAGAAGAATCTAGGCAGTATATGCTGTACCTTTTGAAAACGTGTCGAACAACTGTTTTACTCTTCACATCTTCCTTTGTTGCTAACGAATGTAACGTTTTCTTCTATTTCATTGTATTGTTAAGAGGCCATTCAGAGTGTGGATTATTTTTCATCACTGTTAAAAATATGTCACTGAGTTTTTGATGTTAAGATTGAGTACTGGCTCACTTCCATTGGATTTACATAACCTGCATAATAGCCTCTGTCGCTTAGTGTAAAAGACCCTTTGCTTATTGAGCATATAGTTTCGCGTGTGTAATTAATTAACATTCCATTATTCATCTTGTAATGTTTTTGGCTGTACTGACCTACTTTTCACCATCTATAGCCGACTGGATATAGCAAATCATGCATGATCATGTGATCAATATTGAACCGGAGAACACAAAATACTCGTTATTCCAATCACATACAAATTCAGTTGTTTTTCTTGAAAATGGAGCGGAGGTATTTCGCTACAACCAACTTTTAGTTCGATGTACACATTATTATTGTAGATAACTGCGATGTGTTCATTTTCAAACTTACTTTTCGTGGGAACAAGCAAAGGGTCTGTCATAACTTTTTACATCATAAAACTTTCCTTCTTTGTTTGTAGTGTAGTATTTCAACTAGTCTTTCAAGAGTTATATGGTGACGATACATACTTTTATTACCGTGATGCTTTGTCCAAAAGAATATGCGTAAGTTTTTTACTAATTCTATTTTTTCCTATCAATTAGTCCAAAGCAATTTCAAGACTTCAGACGTCTTCCAAAAAGAGTACAATTGCTATAGCTATTGATGAGGATCTTTTATTACGTGGTGCTGAACAACTAGAGGTATACTGAAAGTGATAATCTGTCTACCTTCAATCCCCTTTTTAGACTTTGAATTTCATCCCATCGTTTAAAAGTGTTTCATCATTTCATCTGTGTTCATTTGATGATGAAAAAGAAAAGGTATTTCCAATATATATAGTATGTATTACTGCTACTAATAATTATTTTCAGCTCTGTATTGGTTTTAAATCAGGTCTAATCCAAGTGCATCATATTTTTGTGTCCACATGTGTTCTGGTTTTTGAAATGAAGCTAACAGAAATACCTAAGTGTATTGTAATTTTACATAATCCTTCTTTGAATAAGAAAAATAACTATTTTTTCTAGTGTTTATCTCCACAGTTTCTGTGTGTCGCACTGGATAACTGTTATATATCAATAAATTTAAGTACAAGTGCTACTGTAGAACTGTTACGTTCAGTTAAAGAATCAATACGCAACTATATAGCTTATTTTAATCAAGTTAGTTAAAATATTTTTATCTAAAAATAATCTAACAATTTAGAATGAATTCATTGTTTCAGGTCCTGGGTCATTGGCTATCATAGTTGATGCGAATGGTGTCTCTCATCGAGCACCACTTCAATTATCCTCAAATATGATAGATGTTTTTGTATGGAGAAATTACTTTTTTACGGTCACTGACGAATTCTTCACTATTCATAAGTATGTTTAACTCCACGTTTTTGTGTGTTTTCAAACTATTTATCTACCTATTATCATCCGAAACAATTTATTTATTCATAAAGCTAAAAGCAATGATCCAGCAAAGTAGTACTTGAACTTTCTATTTCTGGAATCGGTTTCCTGGGATCGTGCATCTGTTGAACAATTAATTTTTTTAAAGCACACAAATACAAGCAATCCGAATAAAAATTCTAGTTTTACTATTCAAGCTTAGTTGTACACGTTCGTACTTTCAGCTTATTCGATCTTCAAGCTTGTCTTTCGTGCTTACAGTTATCTGACTGACTGGTTTCAGCATAGAACTTTGCACCGATGTGCAGCAGTTAGAGTTGCCACACTCCATGTAGCACACAAAGCAAGAGAAGAAAGCAGAAAGAAATGCAAAACAGAGACAGTAAACAGAAATATGAGGCAAAAATAATAGTAATATCGAAGAACAATATAGTTTTGTTGGATATCATATGTCACAAGCAGTAAATGAATCTGCACCATTGAGAACAATTTTGAGCCATATCAGCAGTTGTCTCCAAGCATTGGTTTTTACCGTCCCGAGGACTCGAACAAGGAAGCCATTCAACACCTCCCAACGTGGCTTAAACCAACTGTTGTGGATTTCATTGATTGATGCCATGTTTTGGTTTGACCACCACTGGATCTTTTCCAACCTGATCCATCGTTTGTCAGCTAACATTGCCCGTCGAGGAAGGCAATGGCCAGGGATGCATGCGTAACACATGTCCTATCCACCTCAATCAATGTAAATTCACAATGTCGTCAATTTATTTCCTCTGCTTACTGAGCACTCGATGCCTAACCTCAATATTGTTCACCCTATTATCCAACTTAACACGGGAGATAGAACGCAGGCACCTATGATCAAAGACAGCTAGTCTTTTCATGTCTTCCACATTAAATGGCCGGGTCTCACAGCCGTAAAGCAGGACGGAGCAAACTGCTGAGCAGTACACACACCCTTTTGTCGACAGTCAGCTGGATATCACATCTACTCCAGAGATGGCGAAAGTTGACGTGTGCCAGACGAGCCTTCTGTATCCGTGCTGAGATTTTGTCACCGATCAACGCTCTGGCGTTGGCTGATGCATCTCCATAAATAAATAAAGTGATCAACACGCTCAGCCACCACTTCACTCCTGCCTATCTTTAAGCTAGGAGTTAATGTAGTCCAGTCCTGTAGCCAGATGATCTTACATTTAGCAGTAGCAAGTCGCATGCCAAACATTCACAGATTGCAGCTTATTAATGTGTTGAGAAGACTCTGCTCTATTTTGTCATCATCTTCATCACCTAGAAGGACTATATCATCCGCATGCATATTCTACGTCAACGAGATTATTCCCTGGTGAAGGAAATAAATAGGGGCTTAGAGTCTCGATCTAGTCGGGGACGTAACTGTTTCGCTGCGAACAATTTTTTGTGTCTGTTTAATGGTAAGCATAAACGTTCGCGAACCAGGGTGTGATGAGAGTCTACATACGTGTTCCAGAAAGAACGGCAGTCTTCTACTGATCCTCGCCAACGATACCCTATCGCTATGTGGTCTATCTGAGTCCAGCGTTGATTTGTTGATGGAGATCGCCACGTTACGCAATGTCTCTGTGTGTGCCCAAAGCTAGTGCTGATTTGGAATGGATGATTGTCTGAACAGAACTGTAGAAGACGATCACCGTTGTCGGCTCGTCGGCAGGGAACTCCGTACATACCACCTACATACTTTTCAGTTTGGTATAACTTCCCTGCTTGGGCATTGAAGTCACCTGCTAGAGCAACTATATCTGGACATTTTGCTTTTTGCAGCAAATTAGACAGTTTCGGGTAGAAGTCATCCTTTAGTTCATTCGAGCTGCAGTCTGTTGGGGCGTAAGCGGAGACCATGAAAAGACAACGACAGGTAACGCCATCCTTCTTTCTTCTAACGGATACGTTCAGACGGACTGCACACATACGAATATCTACTGGGATCCAGTCGAGAAGTGATTTTACTGCTGTAACACTCAATGCTATCCCTACACCTGTGAATCCTCACAAACTACCTGGGGAATCTTCTGACACCCTCAAGGTGGGGTTAAGTGAATGGCTACACTCAGGTCTTGTATGCGTGTCTTCGAGACACAACATACAGCCATGGCTCGAGATACCAGAATTCTCGCTGGTGGTGTCTGTTGTCCGATTTGACAGAGGGTCCTGACACTAAATGCCCCTAAATGAAGTTGGCGACGTGGCCTCAAGAGGCTGTCGGGAGTGTTTCTATGACTCTCATCGTTGTTCGTGGCCACAGAGTGAAGTGAAAACGACTCACTAACCTGGAGAATAGTAGTAGGAAAGTAAGATGATGGGGGTGATGTGGGTAAAGGAGGATGATACTCAGGCAGGCTTCATGTGCTTTTGGAAGTGTGTTGGAGGTTGTTACTTCCCTGCTACCCACACCGTGGAAGTTGATGGCTTCTTGGGGTACCTGAGACAGAAAGTGAGTTATTGTTGCGGGAATGCGCAGCCCAGGCGACAACTACTTGAGGCCGGTCACACACGGCCTGTATGAACTGGTTTCTTGGATTGGTTCGGTATCAGTAAATTTACCACCGGTTACGGACCACTGCGGGGTAATTCGGGATGTACAATTTTTAGGGTCAACATTTTCTAACCCCCTCTCTCCAGCGCGGAGAAACAGCATAACTGGCTGGCTTGCTGGCCATCCGAGGGAAACACCTTACTGATGTTACATCCCTGTTCCCCAGCAGTGCGACTTCACCCACAGACCCCCAGCATAGTGTGGAAAAATTCGTACACTATACCGGTGACTGATTTTAGTCTGATAGCTTTCCTAACAACCTTCCTAGCATGGTAGGACCTGCGAAAACAATGGTTTCAGCCATTATAGCTTGTTGGGTTATTGCGATATGCAATTCCAACCACCACGTCAAAGTAGCAGCTGTCGGACGGGGCTTACAATCGTCTCGTAGAACAAAGATAAAACAGTCATAACGTGGATTGGTCACCATCCAGTAAACAATGTCATGTGTCTAGTTTTCTGTGTTGGTTCTGATTGAATTCTATCAGTCGATTGTGCAATGTGGTCGTCAAGCTAGGTTGCTTGCCATATCAGTGCACTCTGAATTGATGTTAGATGTCCGGAAGCGGTTGACAAAGTCCTGGACCTAAGTTCTGTGCTCGTCAGCACTCGTTAGGAAGACAGCAGCAGTCTTGAAGGAAATGTTTGCCTCTCTTATATTTGAACCTACGTCACCAGTGCTGCAGTCAGTAGTTGCGCCACTGAGCTATTCGAGCTTATGACTGATCTCCTTTAAGGCTGTTACTGGGAAGTAACCAATGTCATGCATCTAGTCCTTGTTGTTGGTTCTGACTAGATTTTATTAGGAGTACGATTACGATAAGAATGAAGATGTGAAGTGAAGTGGAAAGAATTCAAGTGGTAAAAAAAATGTAAAATAAAATAAAAACTAGAAAGAACATTATTATGACCAAGGTAAAGAAAGGGGTTTGATAAAACGCTTTTGAACACATAATTTAGGTTTCTGTTCATGTATAGCTAAAGCTTCGGCTATGCATAAGTGAAGAAAACGTAAACTTTTGGAACGGTTCGATTTTGCCATGTAGATAACTTTGAAAGATGAATCACGTGGGGCTAAATGACCAGATTCTAACAAGTGATCACAAATAGACGACTTTACAGTTCTACGTTCGCCTTTCATTAACCAAACCGGATAGTGTTCAGCTACACGTTTTCGGAGATTACGCTTACAACGTCCAATATAAACAGCTCCACAAGAGCAGGTAAAAGAGTAAATACACATAGATGTGGACAAAAGCGGTAATCTATCCTTGACGTATTGTCTAATCATGCTTCGGCTGGTAAAAACTAGTTGCAGGTCAGCTGCAGGAAAAGTGCGTTTAACACATTTAGATAAACGATTTTTAATCAATTCTGAAATGGTGTCACCTTTGAATGCCAGACTCATAAGCAATTTTTTCTTTGGTACTGTGACTAGTCTCGGGGCGGATTCTTTCTTGATATTACGTTCAATGAACCTTGTGGGATAACCATTGTTAAGGAGATTTGATCGAAGGTTATCTAGTTCCCTATCGATTGTCTCTGCAGAGCAGATTTTACGAATTCTGGAGCATAAGGAATGAATGAGATTTCTCTTTCTCCCTAAAGGTACCCAACTGTTGAAGTTAATGTACTGCCCAGTGAATGTTGGCTTTCGGTAAATCGACCTTAACAGCGTTCCATTCTCTCTTCTATCTAGCTTAACATCAAGGAAGTGAAACGAAGAATCCGACTCTTCTTCGATCGTGAAAAGCAAAGATGGGTGAGAACCATTAAATATTCTAAGAAGTTCGGCAGTTGAAGAGTTTTCCTCACATACAATAAAGGTATCATCAACATATCTTTTATACATAAACACACTATCGATGGTTTCCTTTAGTGGGCCATTCTCTAAGCTTGCTGTGTTTTTACTTATGAAAAAATGGGTATTTTTCGAGATTTCAAGGCATGCAAGGACCGATTGACAGCAAAGGGACTTAGTGCGTTTCTACGATATTCTGTCAAGCTTGCGGAAGCGAATGCTAATTCTGATACTCTCAAAAGCTGCATTAAGAATGGAGAATATCCAAAATTTTACGCCGTAATCATATTTATCCAAACAGTCGAACTCTTAAGCGTCATGCGTTTAACCTGATCGATGCCATATAAACGCGTCTTCCGGAACTTGAGAACAATGTGTCTCAACGTAGACATTTCTTATTTGAACTAAGAGACACAGAATGTAGCCTGTTTGAGGATTATGTTTCTGACGTTATAAAGAAACGATCTGAAGATGTTAAAATAAACATACTGAAAAGTTGTAAAACAATCGAATCTCACTTTAAGTTTCCGGATTCGTCAGAGAAATACGTTTTTATCTATTCTAATTTAACCTTGTCGGATATTCAAATGCAAATCCTATCTCTGGGTCTGAAGTTCTCTACTGTTTCGTCCAGAGTCAACGAATTAGACACAAAAGTTCAGTTTGAAAATCTCATGAATCGAACACATGACTTGAGTCCAATGTCTAGCGAAGACGTTGAACAATTCAAATCTTCATTACTTCATTGTTATTACCAGTACCAAAGAACGCAAGGCAGACAACGACAAATGTTATCAAAAGAACACAAAAGACAACTAAATGAATTGCTTAACAACAAAAACATAATACTGATTCGTCCAGACAAGGGATCAGGTATTGTTATTCTTAATCGTGATGATTATGTCAATAAATTATGTACCATCCTGAGTGATGAAGAAAAATTTCTAAAATCACCCGATCAAAAGGACAAGACAGATAATATTGAGAAGGAATTATCTAAAACTTTGACGAAATTGAAGCAAGAATGCATCATTACTCCATATATGTATGAACAGCTTAAACCATCTGGTTCAACTATCCCTCGTTTATATGGTCTTCCAAAGGTGCACAAAGATGATGTCCCTCTGCGACCTGTATTGGATATGCTGAATTCACCGTATCACTCTACCGCTAAATGGCTTGCGGAAATTCTGGAACCAGTTAGATTAAATCTATGTAAACATAGTCTTTCCGACACTTTTGACTTCGTCAGTTGTGTTGATGAAATTAATGTGACTGGTAAGCATATGATTTCGTTAGATATTTGTTCATTGTTCACAAATGTACCACTAGTAGACACTATCTGCTATCTATGCGAGTATATTGATTCAAATAGCATGAACATTGGCTTACCAACTGATTATCTTAAACAACTACTATTGAGATGCACACTGAATGTGCAATTTAGATTTAATGATGTCATCTACAACCAAAGGGATGGAGTCGCCATGGGGTCTCCTTTAGGACCGCTCTTAGCGGACGTTTTCATGGCAAGCTTAGAGAATGGCCCACTAAAGGAAACCATCGATAGTCTGTTTATGTATAAAAGATATGTTGATGATACCTTCATTGTATGTGATGAAAACACTTCAACTGCCGAACTTCTTAGAATATTTAATGGTTCTCACCCATCTTTGCTTTTCACGATCGAAGAAGAGTCGGATTCTTCGTTTCACTTCCTTGATGTTAAGCTAGATAGAAGAGAGAATGGAACGCTGTTAAGGTCGATTTACCGAAAGCCAACATTCACTGGGCAGTACATTAACTTCAACAGTTGGGTACCTTTAGGGAGAAAGAGAAATCTCATTCATTCCTTATGCTCCAGAATTCGTAAAATCTGCTCTGCAGAGACAATCGATAGGGAACTAGATAACCTTCGATCAAATCTCCTTAACAATGGTTATCCCACAAGGTTCATTGAACGTAACATCAAGAAAGAATCCGCCCCGAGACTAGTCACAGTACCAAAGAAAAAATTGTTTATGAGTCTTGCATTCAAAGGTGACACCATTTCAGAATTGATTAAAAATCGTTTATCTAAATGTGTTAAACGCACTTTTCCTGCAGCTGACCTGCAACTAGTTTTTACCAGCCGAAATATGATTAGACAATGCGTCAAGGATAGATTACCGCTTTTGTCCACATCTATGTGTATTTACTCTTTTACCTGCTCTTGTGGAGCTGTTTATATTGGACGTTGTAAGCGTAATCTCCGAAAACGTGTAGCTGAACACTATCCGGTTTGGTTAATGAAAGGCGAACGTAGAACTGCAAAGTCGTCTATTTGTGATCACTTGTTAGAGTCTGGTCATTTAGCCCCACGTGATTCATCTTTCAAAGTTATCTACATGGCAAAATCGAACCGTTCCAAAAGTTTACGTTTTCTTCACTTATGCATAGCCGAAGCTTTAGCTATACATGAACAGAAACCTAAATTATGTGTTCAAAAGCGTTTTGTCAAACCCCTTTCTTTACCTTGGTCATAATAATGTTCTTTCTAGTTTTTATTTTATTTTTACCACTTGAATTCTTTCCACTTCACTTCACATCTTCATTCTTATCGTAATCGTACTCCTAATTTTTGAAAATTTTTAGGCAACACTTGACATTTATGTTATGAAACAATCTTTAACATTTTTGTAATATATCCACTTCATCTCGACCCCTTTTTTCACTTTTATCACATATATCCGTACACTGACCTAGCAATTATTTAGATTTTGTTCGTAGAAGTTTGCAATATGGTCATCATGCTAGCTAACTCGTCATCTAACATCATTTCAGAGTGCACCGCGAATTCTAGGTTCAAGGATTTCTGTCCATTGCTTCCGACTGTCTAAAACAGTAATTGTCGGTCAAAAACAGAATACATATTGCACTGTAAGTAGAATTATCCGATGTATCATAACTGAGAATGATTTGTGTCTTTGGTTACAACCAGTGATTGTACATTTAAAGGCGTTATATGAAATTCTGATATGTTTTAGGTGTCTAAATTAGTTTCTGGATAGTGTACAAGCATTCCAGTATTCTCAGAATAGCCGTTCTAAAAATATTACATTTGCCTACTAAAAGAAAGCTTAGAAATGTAGTACACTGGTTCAAGAAGTAAACTGAGTTATCTTTCCAGCTATATGTATAAACTATTTGAATATCGCATAAAGAAAATACCATAGTGATTGATAATTAATGCTGAGAAACCAATTACATTTGGAATAACATCCAAGACAGTGCACATTGCAACGATATAATCATATTCGGAATTCTCGGTTAGAGTAATAACAGTTTTAAACCAAATTATTCATTTCTGCAATAGACATAATGTGACATAACTTTTTCATTTGAGTGGATTGTTTCTTTTTAAAACAACATTCAGGCTGCTAACTTCTGCAAACCGTTGCTGGATATCACTTTGTTCATTAAAATATTTTATGTTATTTTTATCCGCAAATAATGAGATGATTGTCTTTCAAAACGTAGAATAATGTGTCACTGAGTGATACAATAGTGAAAGCATGTACTTTCTTATTTTATAAGACTGTTATAGTGAGTATAAATGATACTGTCCATCTTCTCTTTATTCTAGTATCCTAACGCAATCTCAACTACAAACAGTCAATCTTCAAAAGTCATCTGTAGCTTGTTTTTCAATGGATGCTCACCTAGTTTTCATTATTAACACATCGTCGTATTCTTCTGATGATTCAAGTATAAAAATTCACTGTTTAGGTCCAGAGCGTTGGGATCGTGTTGCACGTAGATTCATTCTAACTGGTTGTTTGAAGCAAGCATTCAGTGTAGAACAAAATGAAAGGAATCGCCTTTCTCAAGTTATGCAAATTCAAGCTGAGAAATTCAAAAGTGAACAACAATTATTTAATATGGTAAAATTACCTAGTGTAATAATTACTCACTTTGCATATTTCCCCTACAAGTTAATTTAATCTTTTCTGTTTCATTTTAATTGTTTATAACTGTTTTACTCATTGTATTGTTGGTATAAGTATAAAACTTGGGTACTGTGGTCGAGTATAACTTCATTATGGATAGGATTTTATTTTAATAATTAAAGTGTTACACAGCAATAACACAGATTTTTTGTTCAGCGAAGAAATTTATTTTCAACGACTTCATTTTCAAGTTGTACAGTCGTATTTATATTACAGAAAAAGTTATTAAGTGGCACTAAATAATTGCTCAGTCAATATACATATATAAGTGATAAGGATAACGATAATTAAAATGTTAAAACGGGTAGAGTTGAAGTGGATGGATTACAAAACTATTAAAGATTGTTTTATAAGTGAATTGATACCAAAAATATTTTTAAAAGCAAAATGTCAAGCGTTGTCTAAAAATTTTAAAAAATTAGGAGTACGATTACGATAAGATGTGAAGTGAAGTGTAAAGAATTCAAGTGGCAAAAACAAATAAAATAAAAACTAGAAAGAACATTATTATGACCAAGGTAAAGAAAGGGGTTTGATAAAACGCTTTTGAACACATAATTTAGGTTTCTGTTCATGTATAGCTAAAGCTTCGGCTATGCATAAGTGAAGAAAACGTAAACTTTTGGAACGGTTCGATTTTGCCATGTAGATAACTTTGAAAGATGAATCACGTGGGGCTAAATGACCAGATTCTAACAAGTGATCACAAATAGACGACTTTGCAGTTCTACGTTCGCCTTTCATTAACCAAACCGGATAGTGTTCAGCTACACGTTTTCGGAGATTACGCTTACAACGTCCAATAGAAACAGCTCCACAAGAGCAGGTAAAAGAGTAAATACACATAGATGTGGACAAAAGCGGTAATCTATCCTTGACGCATTGTCTGATCATATTTCGGCTGGTAAAAACTAGTTGCAGGTCAGCTGCAGGAAAAGTGCGTTTAACACATTTAGATAAACGATTTTTAATCAATTCGAATCGCTCCAAAAGTTTACGTTTTCTTCACTTATGCATAGCCGAAGCTTTAGCTATACATGAACAGAAACCTAAATTATGTGTTCAAAAGCGTTTTATCAAACCCCTTTCTTTACCTTGGTCATAATAATGTTCTTTCTAGTTTTTATTTTATTTGTTTTTGCCACTTGAATTCTTTACACTTCACTTCACATCTTATCGTAATCGTACTCCTAATTTTTTAAAATTTTTAGACAACGCTTGACATTTTGCTTTTAAAAATATTTTTGGTATCAATTCACTTATAAAACAATCTTTAATAGTTTTGTAATCCATCCACTTCAACTCTACCCGTTTTAACATTTTAATTATCGTTATCCTTATCACTTATATATGTATATTGACTGAGCAATTATTTAGTGCCACTTAATAACTTTTTCTGTAATATAAATACGACTGTACAACTTGAAAATGAAGTCGTTGAAAATAAATTTCTTCGCTGAACAAAAAACTGTGTTTTTAGCTTATGAATAAATGGATATTTTTCGGGACTTATACGGTAATATTAAATGATGGCATTTCGAGCACAAACTGTTGCTCTTCATCATATCAAGTTACTCACACAACGTTTTTCCTTCATTTATATACACGAGTGGAATTGATTAGATATTTGAATAAAAAATCATTATAGGACAATGTACATTGAGAAATAATAATATGAGTTTTATTGATCAGTCAATCAGATGGGAAATAAAACGAGTGTTTTTTTAGTCAAAATAAGTAACTTGTTAGAATGTTATGATATACTTGAATTGAAATAGAATTTTAAGATTATTTATTATTCATGGAGGAGTTCTTGTGAAGAGGAGTTGAAAGAATATGGACTAACATGGATGCAGGTTAAAAGTACAGCAGAAGACAGAAGCAAGTGGAGACGTGCAGTTGCAGCCCTATGTTCCACTAGGAACCCAAGGGAATAATAATAATTATTATTATTCTCTTCTGATTTGAATGTAGGTAATAATATCTTCCATATTTCTGGTATGTGCATTGACTCATTTCTGTTCCATGTGTTGGGTGTAGACTCAATGAACCAGGATTCAGTAATCAATCTGTCTCTCCACTTACTTATATTACTTTTTAAAATTTTAACCCTCTTCAACCCTATTGTGTGGTTGTGTGAATGCATGCACTGCAATTGCTGAGCTTTTTTCTAAATTACTTATCTTCTTGACCGACGCACCCCTAGACCTCCCGTAGCCGGTATTAAACTCCGTAAGAAACGAAGGTTGGACATCAGGCTTGTAACCCCACCTCGTAAAAACATCACCGCTATATGCACTGGAACTTCAGATGTATGTTCCAATTTGAATATCAAGTTATGAAAATAAGCAACCCAAGATTTCCATTAGGACTTCTTGAACTATAAAAAGTAAAATTCCTGTTTTGCGATTTTTATGCTTAACAGGTTTAGAGTTTTGATGTAGTTGTGTTCTGTGATCTGAATGGTTTATTTGCGAATCTTTCATTGCCTTACTAAGCAACATGTTCAGCTCACACTTCGATTTGAAGTTTAGAATTTTTCTTCAGCCTTAGTCCATTTCAACATTGAATTTAATAATACAATTCGTTTTGATTAATTTCGTCAAACGTATTGTTTGCAGAAGTATCCCAACAACTATCTTGAGCGATATGCATATACTTTGGATATTTTCCCTTCAGTACAATTTTATGGGACGCATATATCACGTGAAGTTAACGTAAAATTTCATATATACCAAGATTAAGGTATTTTTTTTAACATTCTTCATGTCCGATGAAACTGTTTAAGGAGATATGTGGCACGGGAGTGGATAGGTTACAAATACAGTTTGGAAGTAGAGATGAATAGAAACTAAGCGTTAACAGGTATCAACTGTAATCAAAAGAAAAACTGAAGTAAAAACACAAATACAGCTCAAAATCTTCAATTTGGGCGCTACTGAAGAAGTCTGGTAGGAACAAAGAAGCACACAGGATGTTGTCCAAACTTCCAACCATTGTCAAAGTGCTATAACGAATCAGCTTAAGAAATTTAGCCTGTAATTTGCTGCACACTGAAATGATCAGTCAATGAACAAGACTAACTAGTAACAAAGTATGTATAAAAAACCAGCATCCCTTTCCTACCACAGCACTACGCCAGTAAAATCGTCTCAGAGTCAGTTAACTCGCCAAAATAGGAACAATTGCTATGGTATGACTAATTTGTATAGAAGCTCAATATAGGATCAAACATATTAGCTTTCGAATAGCCATGAAAATCGTGGCTGGAAGCTCTTCAATCCCAAAACATCAGCTTGATGAATATCTCCATCATAAGCTACAGATATTCTTCATCTTAAATTATAAAAGCTCGACTCCTTTTGGAATTGATATAAGTATAAAACTTGGGCACTGTGGTCGACTATAACTCCATTATGGATAAGATTTTATTTTGGCAAATCACAGTGTTATACAGTAATATTAACTGATGACGTTTCGAGCACAAACTGTTGCTCATAATCATACCAAGTTACACAACTTTTTCCTTTTGGAATCTGCAAGAAGCATTTCAAATAGGAACTATCAGAAATGCTCATTACTACTGACACATTTCTTTCTACATTTATTGGTCAGTAGAGCATAGGCGGTGTCATGTTTCTGATGCATTGTGATGGTTCTGACTAGACCTAGGTTTCACACCTCTCAGCAGTTATCAAAAAGACTTATCTGCAACGTTGAAGAAAGTGATATCCCGTCAGTGACTGGAGTCTGTGTCATACATTGCTACGGTTGCACATGTTACCACTGGGTTATTATGCCTCACTCAGCCAGCGCCAACATCGTCGTCTAGGATTATGACATTAGTTACTCCCCAGGGGCCGATCAATATGTCCAATACAGTCCTGCAGAAGGTTGATTGTGAGCCAAAATAGCTCAGGAGTAATACCTCTGACTGCAGCACTAGAGTAACATGCGTTAAAATCTTAGAAAGAACATCAATTTTTTTTAAGGCTGTGGATGCACCTTGCTGAAGAGTACTGCCAAGCACAAATCCCAGTTCCAGAGCATCCAGCCGACTGCCTCCTAATACATTACATTTTATTATTTAAAACACCTTAGATTCAAGACTGTTAGATAAATACTTAGTATGCTGGCAGACGTGATTTATTCAACGCCCCCGCATTATTCAGTTTTTTTATACATCATTTGATTTATTTCATTACAAATGTTGTTTCTATAGTTGGCGTTATTTAGTTCTTATGCTTATTTTTACGTCCTCTTTATGAATATAAATGAACGAATAAATAAGTGATTACAGTGATATGATGGCAAAAATAGTGAAATCCCTACCGTAGATGTCCTGATTGTTTCTATACTCTGTGGCCTAATGTTTATCATATGGGGTTATGTTCAATGCTCTTTGTTAATTGATTGTAAGGTGGTGTTTCGTAATACTAAATGAAAATGAATTAGAATATAAAACTGAGTGATTTTTCATTGAACACAATTATATTTCTTTTTGTATTTGTCAATTAAATCAGCAGTATATATGTCTATACACTGTTTATTTTATTTCCAGAGACGACAACGAGTACTTGGTCTTTTAGGATTTTATTATTTTGAGTTAGCTGATTTAAAGAAAGCCGCTTACTACTTTGAAGAAAGTATCATGGATACACGTGAAGTAAGGTTTTCATTATTATTATTATTATTATCATTATACTGTAATCTATATGCTGATTAATTTATAGCAGTTTTTTCAGGGAAAAACTTGACCTGAATTCGTAGTTTTCACTACTTGGTTGACTTATGCGCGAATGTGTTATATTTTCCAGAATACTTTCAAAACCAAGTCAAAGAGATAGTAAATCAAGAGTGTTTGTACCTTTTTATTCTTAGGAATTATTTATCACCATCAGTCTCTCTCATTGTATCAGTATTAAAATTTGATCCTAAAAGCCGAAAAGTTCTGACGTTAGATTATTGAAGTAGTTAATCGTATACTAGCTTCGTTTAGATGATGCTTCTGCATTTATTAGTTGATTTTTTTCATGCTAAAGAGCCTCATAAAAGGCATAACTTTAGTTGTAAGTGTTCTTTGAAATATGATTCATGTCCTCGTACATACGTCATCCACTCGGGTCGGAAAAATCATCATTGCGGACTTTTATTATTATGTATGTTGACGACTCAATTGTTCGCTATGATTTTTCTCGTTCTAATAATGCCAGTTTGCTTGATAATGGAATGTTCACAATTGAAATTCGAATTCATAGTAATGCTGAACGAAATAGCGTGAGAAAAGTGTTTTTCTCTGAATCACATTAGATAGTCGAAAATAGTATTAAACACCTTAGTTCGTGAAACAAGCAATGAATGCGTTAGTAAAGCAGGATTTAATGAATTCATTAAATCTTGGTATATATATATATATATATATATATATATATATATATATATATATATATATATATATATATATTACATGTTTATGCTTTTATTACATTGTATCACAAAACGTACAAAATCAACTATTCTAATAAACCAGTTGGTAAATCTGTGTATTAAACTAAGCTCACTTATCTTATTTTTGTCTTTTATTAAAAACAAACAATATCAGATCCTGTTTCGATACACTGACCTTTTACCTAAAGGCTGTTATTTTATGCCAAATTGGTTCTACAGATTACATTATACCAGTGATTCTACACCCAATGATGATAGAGATGGACAAACCTCCGGAATTAATTTAGTCACTGATTTATGCATTTTGAGAGCTGCAGAAGATTCGGACACTGGTCATGACCTATCGTCTGCTTCATTATGGTTATCGAAATATGAACAATTTCTATTCAATTTTTTACGTAAAAATCATAAAAGTAAATTCGTTGAAAAATATTTACATGTAAGTACTACTACAATTTTGCATAAATTGGTTTTTATTTCCCTACTTTCATTGTGGATAGATTTGGATTACAGGTTTCATTCCTGGCGAGAGTATAAAATGTTCATGGTTCTTTGGTGTAAGGAATTTGCATAGTCAATTGAAATATATATATTCTTAGAAAAGGACCTGTTTGTGATAGATTTTGATTTTAAAGGTGATGGGCTTTGCGCCTAAGTTACCATGTGGGCGGTAACTATATATGTTTGAGGAGTTTTGAAAGATAAGACAAAATATACCTGCTAGTCCTCAATTCCAGAAACTTATTTCTGTAATTAAATGTCCCAATCATTAGTAAATAAGATAATTTTTCTACTAAATACTCTTGTCATATATCCGTCTTTTGTTATCCTGCTTACATTCTGTTTTTATGCAGTATTGTGATGTGTGGTAAGTTGAACTAATGCATTTATTTGCAAAATTCCATGTTGATTTGTTCACCAGTTTATTCTCCTTGTATATTCTATAGAGTGGAACTTTTCTCCAAAGTGAATGTCAATAAGACAGTCTTAAAGCCTGTAGTAGTTGTCGACTTCAGAAAATATGCATCATTTCATTCCTTCTACCATGTAAAAAATCTTACAATGGTATTGTTGGAAAATAAACGATATTCCTTAGGTGTTGCTCACTAGGTTTCCTGTTGTTATAGGCTTCAGAAAATTGCAAATCATTTCCTTTTCATCACTTCTGCATTTGTATAAAGGTATTCAAGCTGAATTTTTACTGCCTTATCTCCATCTCCAGTCATTCCTCTGAACATAAGGTGAAAACACTCAGGAATAAATATGTGTTATGTATTTTGCGGATTTACACTGGTGACTGTAAAGTAACAGACATATATTTAGCATGTGCTACTGACAAGACTTATAAGTAGTATATAAATTCAGATATAAGTATGTGTATCATCTACAAGAATATCGAATAGTGGAGAGGTGGATTTAATGAACGGTGCTTGTCAAGGAACGTGGAGAAAATGAAAGGAAGAGAAAACAGCACCGTGCGAAAGACAAAGTGGCACAATAATGAAGATATAGCAAAGTGTGATTTTAATATTTGGTAGACATTTTGCCTGTTTCCTTGTATCGATTTGCCCCCATTAGGTTACCGATTCTCTTGTCGTCTGCCGTTATATATATATATATATATATATATATATATATATATATATAAGAAAGAGGTGGAATAAAGAATAGTGAATGTTTAGTTGTTAGGGTTAATTGAATTTTGAAATTCTTCTTGGGATAGTTCCGATATCCAACAAGTGAAATATCCCAACTATTCTTTGAAAAGCAATTTAGTAAATGTGCGGTATTTATGCTTACATAATAATAATAATAATTTCTGATGCCTAGAGAAAAGATATACTGTGATTCTAGCTATGCTTCAACTCTTGTTACTACTCTGTTGAAATTCATGCACAAATAACTTTTTCATTGTGGTATGATTTACTTATAATAATCAGGTGTCTGAGCGTAGACATATTTCTAACGAAAATTAGAAGGTAAATTTCTTGACACATCAGACTTTTAATTTGTACGTAATTAAATCGGCTTTCTGTAGACTCCTTTAAGTAACTTTTGATTTCTGATTTCCATTCGTCAGACTGTACTGCCAACTGGTAATATTGTGGCCTTCAGGTTCAGGTTTCCTTTGTACACCAACATTTAATGAAACCAGTATTTGGGATATTGTTTTAAATGTAATCGTAAATTTAAGAGGACAAATCTTAGACGCAGATACGAGTATAGTTGAAAGGATATGGAGAAAATAAGAATGTACGGGGTTAGGAGTTAGTATTCGTGAACCATCCTGTCCTAGTGGCTGGAGAATGGTCAACAGGCTCACGTCGTGACCTGAAAGTCATGGGAGCTGGTACAAAAACGGCTGTTCCAATACTCCCTGGTTTTCGAAAATTCTTTAACCGAAGTCATTTGGTGACTAAACTTGAAATCAATCAAGTCTTTGCAAAACAACACTCGAAAATTATTAGATTTAGAAAAGTTTTATATAATTTTGCTACGGTGATCTATTGTAACTTATGTCACCTAAGGTTCTTTTTGTTGTTCATCTGGGTTGTCAACCTGACATCGAACACATTTCTAAATGGCTTAGGTGTACAACCAAAAACATCATAAATTAGGTGCCACTTTTTTCACTCAAATAATCTTTGTCTTTTTCGTTCTCCGTAATCGCGTATGTACTAGTAGTGTTCTGTACTCTTTTTTATTCAGTTGTAAAACAAATGTAATCAAGATATTCTAAGTAGTGTCACGCACTGATATTCTGTATTCTTATGAAGTATATATATATATATATATATATATATATATATATATATACATAATCATAGAGGTAAAGTACTATAAGACAATTCATATGCACGTACTCATGTATGTGCTAATGTATCTGTATATGCGAGCACCTTATGATGTATTTATTGTACTGTATGAAGCTGTATGAATTTGTTGGGATGTCTTTATACATCTGATCGTCATTTACAATGTTTTTGTGTTTATAATAAAGTTTACAATACTAGTACACTATACAGATTAAAGTGAAACAGTGTTGTAATAAGTTGGATTGCATTTTTATATTCACAGTTCTCTTACAACAAAAGCTCATCATCATGATGGACGCTTCTTTATACTTCCTCTTTTTCGGAGTTAAGCCACATGGTCTTTTTACCTATACCATAGGGTAAAATAGATAATAATAATAATATGTACTAGGCAAATTGTTCTTCTGTCTGCATCTTATTATTGCCAACTTAGTTTATACTCGCTTGACTGATATTTGCAATGAAACAAAGTTGAAGAATTAGCGCAGTTTTAAAGGTGTTTTCAGAACAGGTATTGACTACTCCTAGTGACATTAGTAGTATCACTTGCTTCTTTCTGTTGTCATACCATATCTACATGTATATAATATATTTATTCCACATTTTATATGCTTGTACTCGTTGAAGTGATTGGGGACTAGAGTAAAACCTATTATGAATGCATCATATTTTGCGTTTATATTGGTTCCATAAACACATCTGATGTTAAATTGAAGTTGTCATTAAATTCTAATGATTGATAATTAGTGTCTTGTTCGTTATTAGTACTGCAGTTTTGTCTTGTTTGATTATTGTTAGATAAGGTGAATTTTTCTAATAGTCCAATGGAATTCTGTTCACTGTCCTTTTCTATCTCTTCGACTTCTTCATCATTTCCAGTTTTAGTTCCAGGTATAACGATCAAATCATTATCATTAAAAACACAAGACACGGTTATATTCTCTTGAAGTATGCTACATGCCTTGTTCTCCTGCGATACAAATGAAGTTGATCGTTTTAAATAGGGAAGGATTATTTCACATCCTTTGACCACAATACATCTGTGACCCCACAGTGCTATGGGCAGGCTTGTACCCTTTCTCCACTGTGTATTATTATCATCATTAATTTGCCCCACAGATGTCAGCCAAATGGGTCCTGTATTCAGATTTGATATTGTTGTGTCATTGTGCGTTTGTGAGATGAATAAATCACTTATTGGAAAATGGTGACCAGATTCTGCCCTTGGTATCCATGGTTTCCATGTTTCCACTTCATCCGTACAAAATGCTTCTCCACCACCTCCGAGGCACACAAGTTCGTTTTCAAATAAACAGGCAGCGAAATCAGCACGTTCTTTTGCTGGAGGCATTAATTCCCATATGCCTGTTTCAGAGTTATAACGTTCTACTGTACTACTGTAGCCGACATTCGCCTCATTTCTAGTGGGTCCTCCACCACCAAGTATAAACAGTACACCCTCTATTGAGATGGCCTGGGCATAATATCGGGCCTGTGCCATAGGTTGAATAAATGTCCACTGGTTTGTCAATAAACATAGCATTTCACAGCTGTTTGTCAACGTCTCCATTCGGCTCTCGGTGTATCCACCACAAACATAGATTGCTCCATTCAACGAGTCAGCAGCTGGAGCCCCACGAGCCATTAACATACTGGGTGCTTCGTTCCATCCTCTGCCAACCATCCAACTCTTTTCATTCAAGTCATATTTTTCTACACTACTCAATACACTTCGATTATTGTCTCCTCCAATAGCATATAACGTTTCGTTGTTTAAATTGACTAGGACTAAATCACGCCTACTTTCATGTAAAGGTGGACAAGTTTTCCACCCAGATTTTTCCTCAGCCTTTCCATTACCCCTAGAGAATACACCCAACAAATCTAAACAGATGACGTTGGCAGTTGTTTTCGTGTCTGCATATTCACCTCCTGCTATATAAATATAACGGTTTTCTACCAGGCATATGCCGAAACTCATCAGTGCTACTGGCAGTACAATCCAATCATTGATAGTGAATCCATTTTTGTTTGTATCATTTTGTGGTTCAAATGTAATCCATTCATCTTTACGAGCATCGAAAACGTAAACATTTTGAGAAGGTCGACCTTTTTGCCAACCACCGAATACAAATATGGCTTCATGAGGTATTCGTGGATTGTTCGTCAACTCCATTTGCCATAATGATGATGATGATGATGATGCGACGTTTCCAGTGTTTGTGCCTAGAGTTTTTATTGCTTTACTATTAGTACCTATATCAACTTGTAGTTGTTGTTCCTTCTGATTATTAATTACTGAGTCATCTAGTGATTCACTTAATTCATCTAATGGTCGAAGATTTTTATAAATCCTCAATAATTTTCGTCTGGCTTGTCGAAATGCAGTTACACATGCGATTCGTGTAGCTGTCAGTTGTCTAGTTGATGAATTTATCTTTGAATTACCATATCCCGATGATCGCTGTGCCATGATCGCTTTATTATTATTATTTGTCATATCAGAAGTAGGAGAAAGATACGAAGAAGTATTTTGTGTATTTTCTTGATACGGTTTATGCTTTAGATAGGGAAACTCATATATTGTCTCTAGATCAGTTAGTCCTAGGTAGTGAATACGTACACAACGAGACAATAATCTAGGTGCTGCATTAACGCATAAATTGATATTTTTGAATTTCGCCGATGTTGTCTCTAACCACAGATGGATAGCATTGAGTACATCACCTTCACGCTTTATATTTAAATAATCAGATGTTAATAGGTATTCTAATTCATCAACTGTCAAATCTTCGAATTTGGTGAATTGTTCGTTATTGTAAACATTATTCAGTGCTATATTATTATTATTATTATTACTATTACTGTTGAATGGTAATAATTGATTAAAATGATTTAATATGTATTCTTCAACTATTTTACTAGCCTTTAAATTAACTGTTTTGATGACTACTTTGTACTTGTTTGACGGCAATAAATACCTCTGTTGTTCTCGTTCATTTTCTATCGACGAAGTTTGTATAAGTGTACTCTTCCATATTTGCCAACATGTATACGGATTACATTCACTTTGTATGTAGGCATAACAGGTCTCAGCTAACTCATTCAAACCATACTTATTAGCAATGTATAATCCTAACTGTAAGGTGCAATTAATGCTGAAACGCCTTATAGTTAAACTTTTATGACAGTAAATTATTTTGTTGTCATTCACACTGTTTATTATTCGTTTTATATTGATTTCATTCTTTGTTGCCTCTGTTATTGTATTATTAAAACTATCACAGTATTCTTCATTAAAACACTGAATACTAGTAATATTACAATTTCCTATATGACAATAATGTATGATAAAGGCTAATTCTGCAATACACTTTGAATCCTGGCAGTAAATAAATAATGGATTTTGTGACATTAATTCTCCGTGTTCATATTTAAATTTTTCTAGTTCATGTCGTATTTTTTCGTTTTTTCGTGATCTTATTGAACACTGAATAGTTTCACTCATTGTTTGGATTAAACTTTTGTCTTTATTTAAGCGTAATAAATCTCTAAATTGTTTACTTTTGGTAGCTAATTTATAAGCATTAATATACATTATTTGTTGAGTATTTAATATAACTAATGGATGGTTTAGTGCCCATTGCATTGAATAACCTGTTAGTATATTATGCGGTATACTGAATGAAGATTTTTTCTCAAGTTTATTAATGTTCATTGAAATGCTGAGAGTATCTCCAGCTTCTGGGATTTGATGGAAACAAAACATTTACCTATTAAGTCTCCTTTCTATTTATATAATTTTTTGATATATATCTCCCCCTTTCTTAGTTAATGTTATACATATAAATACATCCAGTAAATATGTTTCTGTTGTAGCAAAATAAATTATCGATCGATATTTTAAAAAACCTACTAAATAATTGATCGTTCATCTTATTATTATTATTTTTGTTTACTAAACATCCGAACATAGTGGTGGTAGATAAATAATTGGTGATAATATATAACCAAGAACCACAAACATCAATCACCTTCAACGGGAAAAATCTGAAGGAAATCACTCCTATCACTTACCAAGGTAGCATCACTCTAAATAAAGTTAGCACAGATGGGGATGTCAAAGCCAGCCAGGAAAAGCAAGACAGACCTACATTATTCTGAAGTGAATGTGAAAACCTACTGCACCCAGTATATGAAACAATATTCGGATTTTCAACACTAGTTTCAAGTCAACGCTTCTGTATGTATCAGAGATCCGAGGTGTCAGCAAAAACATCGCCCAGAGCCTACCATAGACCTTCAACAGTAGTTAACTTTGCTCACTTCTGAAGATCAGATTTCCAGAGAGATGGGATAAGCAACAGTGGATCTCTGTCGACGAACCAACCAAAAACTTACCAACCCATAATTATGCAGACGAAAATGGACGTGGATTAAACATACACTGAGGAATAATAGCAGTCATATCAGCTTTACTCTGGAAATTATGTTTAAACAAAATACAAAATTCTTAGCGTAATTTCTTGCAAATGTTTGCTTCCTGTACAGAATCTTCAAGTATTTGTCGACAGTATATCGACGCAACATCATTCTGTCTGACATAAGGCTTAATCCTCTATGACGTTTTTCCTTCACTCGATTGGGAATCAAATAAAAAATCTGCATGAGTTCATGTTGTGATGCAAAGCCACATTTAGTAGATTAAAACAACAAGAAATGGAGAAAAGTAGATGCATTATACTGGATGGAAATTTAGGTAATCCATTGATGTGAACACGTCATCAGAATAAATAAACTTCTACTAAAATTGTTTCTGCTCTTATTCGCTGTTTTACTGTATTTTAACCCTTGAATGTGTTCCTCATTGTGACTGCAATGTTGAGCTGAGAACAAAATGTCCAATTTATTATTGAAGTCACAGTAAAAACTAATGGCTAGAGATATTTGGTGATATTGCTGAAAATTGTTTTCAGTAGCGCAGATTCGTCCACTCCTTGGGACTTATAATAACCAATAAAACTATATTGTCTTTTGATATTACTATTATTTTTGTCGCATGTCTCTGTTTTGCTTTTGTTTCTTCTCTTGCTTTGTGTGGTACATGGAGTGTGGCAACTCTAACTGCTACACATCGGTGCAAAGGTCTATGTTGGAACCAGTCGGTCAGTCAGTATTGAGGTCACGACAGTATGTGAGCGCTAACAAAATAAAGACCAACAGTTCAAAGGTGTCATTTAATTTAGAAAAAAAATGAAAATCACTTAGTTATTAAAAACAAGTGTTCGATGAATGCAGCTTTATGTGTTGTCTAGCTTTTTGCCGTAACCACTGAAAATCTAATGAATTATATCTGTATCAACAATTGCATAGTCAATAGAAATTTGTAGGTTTTTAATGTTTGCATAATAGACTTCTCTAGCCAGCTGATCTTTGGAAAATCACAATTAGATGTCAGTTTACTTTGAATATTATTATTACTATTCGCCCCTTGAGTTCCGAGTGAAACATTGGGTTTCAGTAGCACATTTTCAATGTGTTCTGTTCTATGCAATCACTTTCAGCCCCCACCACCACCCACAAGCTTCCATTTCCTCTTCATATGATTTTCTCCACGTGGCACTCGGACACCCAACCCGTCGCCTCCCATTCTTGTTCCAGTCGAAAGTCTAGAGTGTGATGTCATTTGAAGGTATCTTCAGCGTAGCATGTGTTCACTTCATCTCCATTTTCTTCCTCATGTTTGTTCAGCAGTAGATTTTTGATAGGTTCACTGACAGTTCCTTGTTCTTTTTGTCTATCATTTTAACCTTCAGTATCAAGAAAGGATAAGTTATCCCAGTAGTTCATTTCGACAAAATTTCGATCGCCAACAGATACAGTGTAAGAAATCTCAGGGTAAATCGTGTGTTACGTCTATATGATAAAACACCGAAACAGGATCTATGAAGACAATACCAAATCGAATATTAGCTTTCTTAAAGCCGATAGTGCTCTGACTGATTCAATTACAGTTGCAATCGTCTTTATTGATGCTTATAATATCTTGTCTTTTCTATTTCATACAACACAATGAGTCCTTCTAGGGTGGCTTTTGTTGATAGAAGTATAAAACTTGGGCACTGTGGTAGAGCATAACTCCATTATGGATAAGATTTTACTTTGATAAATCACATAGTGTTGTACAGTGATACTAATATAGTATCAGTTGATATTACTGTTCAACACTGCGTGATTTGTCAAAATAAAATCTTATCCATAATGGAGTGGTTTTTATTGGTCTTAACACAGAAGTATTTTGATTGGACACTAGTAATTAGTGTGATGTGTGTAGTCCTTTCTTTGGTGCAGACTGAATTCTATCAGTCAGGTTTGCAATGTGGTCGCCATTTTAGGTGGATATCCATCACGGTACACATTGATTCAATGATATTACATGTTTGGCGGCAATCGGCAAGAAGTCTTGGACCTAGGTTTCGTGCTAGTTGGCACTCGTCGGTAAGGTGTATATGCAACCTTGAAGGAACTCATATCGCGGTTTCGAATCTCAGAAGGATATGAGTTCCTTCAAGGTTGCAGGTACGCCTTGCTGATGACTGCCAGCTAGCATGAAACCTAGGTCCAAGACTTCCTGTAGATTGCTTCCGACCATCTAATACCAATAATTCACAGTTCGCCGTGATGGCGAGCCACCTAGCTTGGTGGCCACATTGCAGTGTTGGTACTGCACTTGTATCACTACAGTTTGTTTCTCTGCTATTTCGTTGGTAGTGACTATCAGGGGAATTAAGCCTGCTCATCACGTTTTCTTTTCTGTCTAGTCTTCTGGAAGCACCTGCATTTCCAGTGAGTGCTGATGTTCCTGCTGTGGGACTCAAACACCATCTATGGTTTCAAACACGAAAGCACTATACACTAGGCCACGACAGCCACTTTGTGCAACAGTTATCAGTAATTATTTGGCGTTCGAAACGAAGCGTGTAGGGTTGGAGTCTCAATAAGAACATTCACTGAGAGTGCAGCAGACGAAACCTTAAAAGATGAAGTGCGCATCCTCATTTTCACTGTTAGTCACCATAACCCAAAATTGGATCACGGTAATCCTCAGACTTTATCAAAACATCCCTACTGGGAGCCTGAATATCAACAGAGACCGGGCGTTTCCGTCCAGTATAATCAATCAGCGGGAAATGCAAACTGACCTAACAACAAACGAGTAGCAGTTTATCTCTCTCTCTGCCATTTCGTTTCTCATGCTTTTTCCACTAATTGTATGATGTGTCCATTTAGTATTTAGGTGAAGAGGTGATAACGAAAGATGGCCCCAATTGTTATGCACTTCGAGTGAGCTAACAGTATTAAAATGATATCGGTTATAAGTGATTATTTCACCCATCCCCCTGGTAACTTGTAATAATTCAAATAACACTGCATGCAATGAAATACAGTACTTACGAGTCTTTGGCTTTTTCTCTATTCCATTTTATAGTTTGTAGAAACGGCCTTAGTTAAACTGTATGTTAGATTACAGCAGTCTGGTATCCAACCGTATTTGTATGAATTAATCATTGATCCAAAAACGTCTTATGATTATTGTGACCAGTCAGCAATGGGGTTTTCTTCTGTAATTCAGCAATCAAGTGATAATAATGATGATCAAGGATTAGTTAATCTTATTTCAAGTTTGATACATATTGATGTAGAAGATTTAATTGTTTACCTGGAAAAGAACAATGCTTATCATGCTTTGGCGTTAATATATCATTGGCAGGGTAATCTTTTTGGTGCACTAGAAATATGGCGAAAGTGAGTTGCGCGGTTTTATTGTTTCACTCAATCATGGTTTTTTCTTCTGAAAACACACTCATGTCTTGTTTTGGTTTGTATTCTGTTATATTTCATGAATTTCTTAATTTTTGTCTTCGTAAATATATATATATATATATATATATATATATATATATATACTATTTGGTTTGCTTTCGTGATTGTCATTTACGGTATCAAACACATCACGTATACTGTGACGTAAATATTTCTGACTTCCAATTAAACCGTGGTAATTTCTTTCCTCAAACTGTGTATTTACAAATGATGATTTTTATTCCATGTATTATCAGTTTGTCTAAGTAGCTAACTATCCAAGATTTGTGTCTCTGAGTCGAGTCTAACTGGGTGCAGCACCTTTTGATGATACCGGTGAGCGTAACGACTGTTCATTGTTTAGTTTGTTTAGATCTAGCTAGTAAGCTCTACTATCGGTTGACATGAGTCAATCAGTAGTATGTAGTATCACGCTGTAGATAATTGCTTTTATTCATTTGCTGTTTTAGTTAATCTCCTTTTTATGCATTAACTGATGCGTGTATTACCTACCTTGAATCGATACTTAGTTTTGCCATGTTGTATATTTTAATCGTACTCTTCATGCATTCATGAATTAGTTAATAAATAATAGTGGGTATGCCCTAAATCTTAATCACACTTGAAAAATGTTAAGACGGCCATTAATTTAACTTTTCTCAGTTATCGAATGATTGGTATTTTGACTTTTGTCTGACGGGAATTTTTTATAACTTCTTTCCTTTTTTTCAATTTTAGATTAGTGTATAATGAACTTAGTGATCCAGGTTTCCCGGGAGTACCATTTTATGTATTAATTTTATCACAGTAAGCATAAGTTGTTTGTTATTATTTTTTTGAATGCTGGCTCTTTTTAATTATTACATTGTATAGATAGGTTACCATGCTGTGCTATATAATGAATGGTGTTTTCATGAAGAGAATATTGCGTTTACTTTATGAGAGAAATTATGACTAATTGAATTAGGCTGTCAACTCCCAACTAACCAATCACAGATTTTAACCATAATGTAGCTGCTGAATTTTAAACAGCTGGACATTATCATTAATTTTGCAATAATTGGCATGCACTCATTACTTAGTGTTTAAATCTTCATGAGGTCACTGAGTAAATCTGTCCAAGCTAAAACAGTTCAATAGTATTTTAAGCCTTCAGATGTGAATGTGGCTCATAGACTAGTATGTAAAGAATACTGCTTCTGATGATTTTTGTTTCATTCTTATTATCTATGTCATTGTTGTAGTTTTAAGGTTAGAGACTTTAACAGCCTGTTAGACTGACACTTATAAATTAACGGATGATGACTGATGGCGCAATGAAAATCTGGGCTACTGCCATCCAACCCAAGACTATGTCAGATTGTTTCATCACCAGTTCAAAAAATACCTGGAAATGTACTATGGAAAACGTATTGGCTGACAGCTTTCACATGGGATCGTTCATCATATGACTCACTAACAAGTCATTTTACTTTTAGTGAGAATTGTGAAGATATGGCTACTCAATTCAAAAATTATCCGCTGATAGAAATGTCCTTTATGATGAATACAGCTCATCGTTTAGTTATTGAAAGAAGTATGTATTTGCAAATTTTTAGTTTTATCTCTCTCTTGATATTATTACTATTATTATTATTAGTAGTAATATATATGTGAAGATCAACACTGCATAATAAATTATTTGTAGCATAGTATGGTCAACATTACTGAAGTTAGGTGTAAAGTCAGCCAATAAGTGAAATCAGATCGGTGAAGCTGTTTCAGCTGAGATGACCTAAAAATGTGTCACGCATGTTGAGATATCGCCTTCCTCATCGATCACTGTTAAATGATACAGTATGATAGGGCTCAAAGTGGATTTCAATAGGGCACACGCGTTCATTCTTTGTAATATCTGAAATACACTAAATTATCATCATTCTTCACGTATCTCTTCCTTCTCCCGTACATTTCTGTTTATGGTAGTCTTCTAGCACTCTTTTTTCTCTTCTATTATGTGTCGTTTTATGAAGCATGGCAACGTGAAATGCTGCATTTCTGTGAAAAGTTCTACGTTCAAAATTCAGTCAGTTAGATTTCATTACGCTTATCTATTAAAGTACGGTCGTTTTAAAATGTTAAGAAGACAAGATAACACCATTAATATATAATAGAGGTTGGCCTGTTTGTGTTTTAGATATAACACTGACATTTTTATCAATTATTATTTTCTGTAGTATTTATCCTCATTGTGTTTATGTATTGATAATTAATTCATTATGGATAACAGCCTGCTCTTCTTTTTCTTATTTCATATATTGCGTTTGTTCTTCAGTTTATCTGCGACTAATTCAGCTGATTCTTCGAAACAAATGTTGCCCGGTGAAGTTATGCACTCATCAAACGATGTGAATTACGAGTTTCCTGTGTATACTGAACTAGTATGGAATCATTTTCTAGAAGCTTTAAATACAGGTCATGATATGATAGCTGAAGAACTTATGATTCGTTTTCCAATCCCTGTTAATTATATTAACTCATGTTGTGTAACACCATTTGATCACTTTAATAGTAATGTAAACGTTGTAGAAAATACGCTAGCACCATCACAAATTTTATCCCCTAATCATATTATCCAAAAACTTCTTTCTTCTCATCCAAATTTGGCAATTACTTATCTAAAACATTTATGCTGCTGCCTGCCTAACTGTGTAAGTCTTGTGTGTTTGCTCAAGTTACATAAAACTTATCTGAAATGGCACTGTAAATTCTCCATAGTTGAACTTTTATGTAAGGTACATCTACTAATTAGTGATTGGTTGAAAGCTATTATAAACAGGTTGTATGCCTCAATTTTAACGAGTTACACCCGCAATCCACAGGAGATTGACATTTGTAAGAAGGACTCTAACTCACTCCACTTTATGAGACTGCTAACCGGTGCAATGTTTATACTGCAGTGAAGATTTTGTTAGAATGTAAAATCCATGAATCCGTTACCAATCAGAGATTTGTTGGGAACAAAGAAGTAACTTGCGCATCTACGTGGTTTCGTGTGGCTTCATATTACAATTCATAACAGTGGTTGGAACGTTTTGAGTCTGTTTCTGATTTCAGTCTATCTATTTGTATTCCTTTTACTAGTCACTGAGTTATCTTACTGATTATAAATGTAGTGTATATATTGTTGTTAGCCTACACTTTTAAATAGTTTCCTGAACATAATATTGTAATTTCCCTTTAGGACTAATCTGAAGAACGTATTTCTAATTTTTCTCTCTATCTTAGATAAGGACAAAACAATCACACCAATCTCTCTTTCTAGTTATCCAGATCAGTTTTACTAAGCGTATACATATATGAATATCGCGTATTGGCTAAGGTATTTACTACTGTTAATATTATAAAAATGATGTCGGGTGTAAGGACAACTACTCGCCGATGACATTTGCTAGTAGTCGCGCCATAGCGTAAATTTGCAGAAGCTGGAATTCATGGGTCATTGTATTAGGTCTCAGTGACTTAGTGCTCTACGAGCTCGCCTTGCAACTGAAAGGTCCTTGGTTCGATCCCCGGTTGGCGCGTGCTTATGAAGAGTCTCAAACTAGTCTGACGAAACGGCTGTTCAGTACTCCTAGGTTTTCCAATGGTTCTGTAACCGATGTCAGCTCTAATGATCGACTAAACATCATTTGAAGCAATATTGTCTCATCCGAAGCATGCTTCAATACTTCTCAATGTTCCCCACCACCACCTAATTACCATTTTCTTCAAAAGAATTCATAGCAGTAGGTTTGAACTTACTTAAAAATGTGCATGAGTGTAGATTGTGATTCATAAACTTAATTGACTGATTAAAGCAATATGAAATGCAGTAAATGGGACGCATTTTATTGGATGGGATAGTTAATTAGCCCACTGCTTAGAGCCTATTTTGCAACATATGCCATTCTAAATTAACAGAAGTCACTTTTAGAATATTTTCAGTCAGAGATCACATACCATCACATCTGCATTCCGGATCTGTATGACGTGGCTCTCATGGTCCAAATGGTCTATTGGGAGAACGCTTTGATGTTTGTAGTGAAGGGTACTATATTAATATTATATATTTATTTAAACGCATAAAAAACTTGGTACAATATGGCACCAAGAAGGATGCGCCACACAATAATAATAAAACAACATAGATCAAAATAAAAAAATATATAAGTAGAGAACGGATAAAGAACTTCATCTGGAAGGAAAACAGTCATGCTTAACAAGTTCAAACAGTGTTCGTTAGCTATCATCGGGAAGGGAAGAAAGAAGGAAATCGCAACACATTCGCCACTGATTACGATTCTTGGCCATATCCGATAACGTTTCGAGCCATCGATTTGAGCTATCTCTCGGACCCCAACCAGGGAGTCGTGACACACCAACCGATGCTAATCTAGCACAAAAATCCTTCATCCCACGACGCCACGTCATGGACTGACCACCTCTCCGCCTTTTCCATCCCGTCCCAGGGCTAGCGAACAGAGACCTGTACGGAAGCCTCTGGGGTGACATTCGCAGCACATGTCCAAGCCACCGGAGCCGGTGTTTCCAGATGACGACATTCAATGAATGGTGATCTCCACTTTGTTCAAACACACGCCGCCGAACCTCAGAATTACTCACGCGATGATGCCATCGAACGCAAGCAATCCTGCGGAGACAGCGGTGATCGAACACGCAGAGTCGCCGCACATCCTCAGCTCAGCAGGGAAGCCCGCACCGAAGCATTGTATACCCGACCTTTGACAGCCAGGCTAACGTCGCGACGGCGCCAAGGTGGCTCAAGTTGATGTATGCCACCCTAGCCTTCATTATACGGTTGGAAATCTCATCCGTCACCCCTCCGCCAGCACTCACACAACTACCCAGGTACACAAACTTATCAACAACTTCAAGCGGTTCACCCGCAAGAGTGAGTGCAGGTACAGGCTCCTGCCAATCTTGTAACAGTACTTTGCACTTAGACGGCGCAAAGCACATACCATACTTACAGACACTGATCGCCAACTGATTAAGTGCGATTTGGGCAGCCTGCACAGTAAGACGATATCGTCTGCATACTCGAGGTCGAAAAGTCTATCTCCAGGTAGCAGATCTACACCACCTTCACGCACATCCTTCAGAGCTGACTCCAGAATGTCATCGATGGCAAAGTTAAAGAGAAATGGAGAGATTGGGCAACCCTGTCTAACCCCACTGTTGGTTGGGATAGTTAGTTGTATGCCCTCACTCTACCTGAGGTGTTTCTGTATAGGGCTTTCAAGATGTTAACAAATTTCTCAGGTACACCTCTCTCTAACAGACAGTTCCAGAGCACAGTTCTGTCCAACGAATCGAAGGCAGCCCTAATATCAAGAAACACAACGATCGTTGGCCTGCAATACGTGTGGCGGTGTTCCAACAACTGACGAAGGGTGAACACATGATCAATGCATCCACGACCTGAACGAAACCCAGCCTGCTCTTCGCGAATCAATCCTTCACGTATTTTGCACAGTCTGCGAAGCAAGACAGCAGCCAATATTTTAGACGCGACTGGTAACAGACTGATACCCCTATGATTGTCACACGAATTACGTCGACCCTTTTTAAAGATGGGGACGATAATGGCTTCGTTCCACATTGATGGTACACTCTCTGTCTCCCACACCTTCCTGAACAACCCAGTTAGAGCCATTGTGAGAGTCTCGCCACCATCTTTAAAAAGAGCCGGGGGTAATTTGTCTGGGCCGGGCGCCTTATGGCGTTTCAGAACTTGGAGTTCCTTACGGACCTCCGCTTCGGTGGGTGGGTCGGTACTAACCGACCAAGGAGCACTCGGGCTAATGATAGTAGACACTGAAGCTGGTGGCCAGCTAAACTGCTTCCCGAAGTGCTCTGCCCAGCGTTCCAGGCGTCTTTTCAGGCTGGTAATTGGAGTGCCATCTGCCTCACAGACCGTCTCGCTGACACCTTGTTTCTTGCTGCCGGTGGCTCGTATGAGTTGGAACAGCTTCCGACTGTTGCCAGATGCAGCAGCTGACTCCATCTCACACGCACGTTCTGACCACCAGGCTTCGCGGTCCTTACGTAAACACTGTCTAATCTTGCGCGTGAGCGCCTTTCGCTGATTGTTGTATTCGCTGCCAGCCGGAATGGACCGGCGTTCATCCATGAGTTGCAAGGAACTCGCAGAAACCCAGTGGTTTTTAGCGGAGCATTCTTTCAAGCCGCAAGCGGCTACACTCGCCTTTTGCATGGCACCTTGCACATGAAGCCAATGTTCATCTATACTACTTGGGGGTTGCTGGCAAGCATTGTTTTTAACTCATTCTGATATTTCAAAGAAGTAGCAGGTGCTACTAGTTTGCTCACATCAACGCTTAGACGACGGCTTTTACGAACCCCACCAAATCGCAAGACGAACTTGGCACACACTAACGCATGATCGGAGTCCAGGCATGTGCTCCAGAAGGAGCGACAGTCTTGTATGCATCCTCGCCACCGGAAACTGACCGCAATATGATCAATCTGAGAGAGGACGCCAGGTAGCGCCATGGTGATGGCTGTGCCGGAAGTTGGTGCTGGCTAGAAATAGGTTGTGATCCGCGCAAAGCTGCAGAAGACGGTCCCCATTATCTGACCTGCGACCATGTAGTCCCCACTGACCACCTAGACGATTCTCCTCTGAGCTTAGACGCCCGACCTGTGCATTCAAGTCCCCAGCCAGCACTACGATATCCCTCCGACCCGCCTGTTTCAAGAGATCGCTCAGTTGGTAGTAAAACTCATCCTTCATTGCATCCGGGCTGCAATCCGTCGGTGCATAGGCAGAGACAACAAATAGACACCGCCTATCTGGCCTACTACTCCTTACTTTCGTATAACCTTCCAGCCTCACAGCACATAAACGACTGTTAATGGGAAACCAGTCGAGCAATGCAGCTTCGGCTCTAGCGCTCAGTGGGACACCGACACCAGCTACGCAGGATATCGACGCCCCAGGGTTCCCGGATAAGCGCAGGTGGTACATACTACTAGAACTTCCAGATGGAGAGGGTAGTCGAAGCAATTCACTGGGATCTTGAATGCGGGTCTCCGAAATACAGCAGACATCCATCGATGGCGAGGCTTTCCAAAGTTCTTACCAACCCTGCCTGTTCTCCGATTTGCATCAGCGTCCGAACATTGTAGGTGGCCAAGTTGAACGCGGCACGCGGTTTCAGGATATCTGTGTTAGATGTCACATTGGGGATAACCATTTTGAGGATTACTCACTAACATCTCGAAACGACACAGATAGGCTGGGAATCTAGACAAAGGAGAAAGGCTGACGAAGGTTAAGAAGTCAAGTTTAGCAAAGGTAAAATACAGGAAACTATGTATAAAAATAAAAGTAAGGTTGGAAAGGCATAAGTTGCTTGAGGCATTATTATTTCTGGGTACTGGGTTTAAGTGTCAATGGAAACACTGTCACTCAGTGACGATTGCAGGTACATCTGGCTAACAAGTCACAAACAGAATGGGATTCTCATCCTGGATTCCACTGATAGTCACCATCCACCAAACAACATCAGCAATTGGATTACACCTAGAGCACATGATAATAAAGTGGTGCTTTACTTATGATAAGCTAAAAGAGAGAGGCCTGTTTTTAAAAAGCCCTTTATGAATTTTTCAAGAGGACTAACAGGCCTCTCTCTTTTAGCTTATCATAAGTAAAGCACCACTTTATTATCATGTGCTCTAAGTGTAATCCATAAGGTACATCTTCTTATGAACAAAAGCAATGTTTCAAGAGAATCTAAATTGAACAGTAAGGGTAGGGATTAGTAGAAATTGAAGTAATACAGTTGATAGGATTGAATACAGTTCAACTAAAATTGAAAGAAGGTTAAGACAAGATTAATTCCCTAAGACTTAGAAGGATAATTTTGAGGAATTGTGCGTCAAATGCTGAGATAAATGAGGTTAATTTTCAGTCCAGTAACTGGACAAACTTCTCCAATACTCAGAATTCACTATTTAATTCACTAATTCAATATTTCGACTCTGTTCCTAGGACACTTTTATTAGGAAAGATGATTTTAGCTCAAACAGAGTCCTGGGCAACTAGATGGCTGTCTTCTTATTTTAAGGATAGGAAACAGCATACTGTTTTGGCTGGAAAGCGCTCCACTTTTCAGCTAACTGAAAGTGGTGTGCCTCAAGGTGCAGTACTTTCTCCATTTCTTTTCTCTTTCTTTTTGCATGACCTTCCGAACTCTCCCAAAGTTAACTTCATTAAGTATGCCGATGATCTGACCGTTTCTGTCCCTGTAGTTTCCACATCGGGTTGTTCCCATATGAATGGCTTCTTAGCTGAAGTAAAGGATTGGTCTGGCTCAAATGGTCTTAAACTAAATCCAACTAAATGTAACACTGTTGATTTCAGCTTGAGAAGTGAAAAAGACATGCATGAATTGATTCAATCTCATGATTGTTGTAATATTGATGGTACCATGATAGAGAGTAAATCAAGTGTTTCTTATCTTGGAATTAGTTTCTCTTCAAACCTTTGCTGGTCGTCTCATATTCTTATAGTTTCTAAGAAAGTTTTCCGTCTGACTTATTACATAAAGAAGTTGAGACACTCAGGTATAACTCAATCTCTTATCATACAATTTATTAATTCATGTGTTTTGCCCATCATTCTTTATTGTTCTCCATTATTCTTCCCTGGGCTACTCAAGAAAGACCATATAATACTACGAAGAACATTGAGGGCTGTAAGTAGGGTCAGTGCTATCCCTTTGACTCAACTAAATGACACTGTTGTCAATAGGCATATGAATTCTTGTAAACACTTAGCTAAAGTTATCTTATCTGATAGTGAACATCCTCTTTATTCACAATTGTTTCCTTGTATCTCTTCGGGTAAGACCAGAAGAAATTTTATAAACATTTATGCTCGTACTACGAAATATAAAAATTCGACCGTTCCATATTTGGCACGAGTATTGTGTGAAGAGACAAATATCAGAAAAGAACTTTTGCAACTTTTGAATCAATAACTAAACTATAAAATGTAATGAAGCATATTATTATGCATGTGTTATTCGTTATATTATTTATTTATTATTCACTATGACCTAGAATGGTGTGATTTTGTTGGGGTTTTTTTTATTATTATTTTTTTTGTTTTGTTTTTTCCTATTAACTATCAATATTTTAACATTTTATACATTTATATAATTATAAACAGAGCTAAACCATTGCAATATGTAAAAGAAACGCTGAAAATTCCATGCTGTAAATTTTTATTGTTGTGGAATAAAGTGATTATTATTATTATTATTATTATTATGTAGCTTACCATAGGTTCTGTGGTTTGCGAAAGTTTGATTCGTGCTCTTTTGGTAAGATTTCCGCGCACTTTGTAAATGACTGAAATTGCTTTGGTTAGAAGGATTGGAAAAGTTTTTTCAAAAGAGAGTTGTAAGGCAATCTTTTTTCTCCTCTGAAAAGTTATATACCCTATAACCTCAACTTGAATTGCTGATGTGTACACAGCAACTCAAGTTATGTATCAAGTACTCTCATCTGTCTCTCCTGAAACGTGTCTCTTTTTTATTCATTTGTTTTTATAAATTCTATCATATCATGTTTGAATTTCTTTTTCAGCATCCGGAAAATCACAATTTGTTAGCTAAACTCTATTTGGATGCTCTGTTTATTAACCTGAAGTCTACTGATGTTTTATCTGATCAAACAGATAGAAAAATTCGTGAATTAAGGTAATTTCCATTCTAATCCATTTTTTCTTTCAACATCTCTGAAAGTTTTTCAAATAGGTAATAATAAATATGAAAAGAGAGCAAATTTATTAAATTTCTATATAACATTACAAGTAAATAAACTACATGTGAAGGTGGAGTGCTCTCTTGCTATGCGGGAGTTCTGGTTTTGATATCTTGCCTACATACTCGGAAACCAAACCTAGTTTGTGAATTAGTAGTTAACCCAGAAAAGAAGGAAGGTCGGGAGTAGGGGTAGTAGACCCATCCAGTGATATAATAACAACGCTGCTGTTACGCCGAAGCTCCAGGGCTTGAAGCCCCATGTTCCACTAGGAACGCAAAGAAATGAAAAAAAGAAAAATAAACTTAGTAAAATCAACATAATCATGTTAATGGGGAGTTCTATTATTTTTAAAGTCAACGAAGACAGATAGTCAACCTATTATTTCAGTCATAAAAAGTGCTTTTGTGGTAAATGGTAAGCATCATCGATGCTTTCATTTTCTGGTTGTCGAATGAAATAAATTACTGAATCCTTGAACGTTTTTGATTTTATGATTAGTAACTTCAAAACCACACCTAGTTGACATGACTCTCTTACACTTAATTAAACGTCAGGCGAAAAATGGAGGGGGGGGGGGAAAGTGATAAAATCAAAAGACAAAACGGTTTTACTGTGCCTGTGTCAATAAAACGGCTGAGACCTAAACTATGCATTCGAAAGTAACCCTTTATTGGACTTCATTATCCTGGTAACTCTTACCTTAGTAACTCTTTACTACTCAAGTAAAAGCTAAAATATTGGCTGCTCACTGTTTATACTTGGATAAAGGAAATCAGTCTCCTTCAGCTAATTTTTTTCTTTTTTCTACCTGTTTGATTATAATTTTTTATGCAAAAATGACTCCTTGTCATAGTTTCATTATATACCAAGCATTTTTCGAGTTGATTTTAATGAGTTCACCGAAGCGTCGTAACGCACTATATGTGGTAATTGTGTTTTCAATAGCCTGTCATATTTTATGTCTGTGGAAATTATGTCTACTCACATGTGCACTTAACTAGGACCGGATGCCTCTGATGTGTTCATAGATGTATATGTATATGGTAGAGTTTGTCTTTGATTTCAATTGATTTCATTTATATGTGCTACTTATTTAGTCCTAGCTTTCTGAGTGGAATATAGGGCTTCAGTGTGCAGTAGTGGTGGTGTTGTTTTCACAAAATGGGGTTGTTATCCTCATGTCTAACCTTCACTCTTCCCCAAGCTTACTACTGGCAAGTAAAGTAGACAGGGTTTAGGAGTGCGTCATTTGTGCATCCAGAAGTCATTGCCTACTACCGTTTGCTTGTGTCCTTCACAAAAGTTGTCCATAATTTTTTGGATCGAACAAACTATGTTTATCCTAAAATGTCTACACATATTACTTTTGAAAAATGATGAAATGCACTTTCAAGTTATGAATAAAAAACAACTTATTATCACTGTGTTGCAATGATTTCACCTGATTGTGACAAATTGAATCAATTAGTGATGACAGCTTTGTTCTCGTAAGTGAATTTCTTGAGTCCATGAGTTGTGATAAAGATAAAGAAGAATATGAATTAGTTATATAGTATAAAGGAATAACTATAGTTTAGAGCTGAGGTTTATAATATTATAAGTAGATTTCATATTTTCTTTTTTATCGTGATATCTCAGAAACTCATGTATGTAAAATATGTGATATACATTACTGCCTTCTCTGAGTATATGGACTTTTTTCATGTCGATTAGCCGGTTCTGAAAGACTGTTTTGGTTGCTTGCACAGTATTCTATCTTCAGATTGTTTATATTGAAAAATTTGTCAAAGTGAAGTAGTTCAAACTATCTCATTATTATTATTATTGCTCCCTTAGGTTCCTAGTGGAACATAGAGCCTCAACTGCACATCTCCATTTTCTTCTGTCTTCTGCTGTACTTTTCACCTTCATCCATGTTAGTCCATATTCTTTCAACTCCTCTTCACACGATCTCCTCCATGTCACCCTTGCACTGACGTCCTACACGCCGCTTCCCTTTCGGGTTCCACTCGAGCAATGGCCTGACGCGCGCGCGATGTCACCCAGCGGTCTCCTCAGTGAGTGTCCGATCCATCTCCATTTTCTCCTGCATATTTGTTGGGCGATTGGTTCTTGCTTTGTTTGTTCCCATAATTCCTTGTTGGTGATTCTTTCCGGCCATCTGATCTTCAGTATAGAGCAGCGAAGACAGTTGTTAATAAAGGTCTGCAACAGGCTGTTGGAAATATTCTTTGTGACCCGCCAAGTTTCTGATCCGTATAGAAGAACTAACTGACTTTACGTTTGTATTGAAGATCCGAATTTTGTTGGTGATGCTGAGTGACGAAGATTTCCAGATTGATTTCAGGTTGATGAATGTGTTTCTCGCCTTCCCGATTCTCGCTCGATTTGAAATCCTCGTCCGCTCCTCCTGTAGTTGAGACAATGCTCCCTAGATAAGTGAATGAAGTAGCCTCTTTCAAATCCCTCCCGTTGATGGTGATTGACGTTGGATGTTGTTGTTGTTGTTGGTAGATTATTTTCATAACCTCCGTCTTGTCTGTGTTCACCTGGAGTCCTGTCTTCGCCGGCTGCTTCTTCGACCAGTTTGTCGGTTTTCGCTTGTAAGTCTTCGATTGTGTGTGACATCAAACATAAGTCATCCACGCGCGAAATCCAGGTCTTCTAGGTTCTTCACGTCTGTCCAGGATATCCCTGTCTTCTCGTTTCCCACTGTCTGACGCATAATCCAGTCCACCACAATTAGGAATATCATTGGTGATAGTAAGCACCCCTGTCTGACTCCTGTGTTTACTCCAAACGCCTTGCTGAGTCTTCCGTTTTGGATCACTTGGCAGGTGCCGTTATCGTACAGCTGTTGAATAAGGTTGATGAATATTTGGGGTACGCCGTAGTACTCGAGTAATTTCCAAATTACTTCACGATCAACGCTGTCGAAGGCCTTCTCAAAGTCTATAAAGTTGAGGTAGAGGTTTGATTGCCATTCCATGCTTTGTTCTGTGATGATGATGCGTAGAGTTGCAATTTGGTCAGTACATGATTTGCCTTTCCTGAATCCAGCTTGTTCTGGTCGGAGTTCTGTCTCCAGTGCGTCCTTTAATCTCTCCAGGATGATGCGACTCAGGATTTTACTTGGCGTCGACAGGAGCATGATTCCTCGCCAGTTCTTGAGGAGTCCTAAGTCGCCCTTCTTTGGTAGTTTCACGAGGTAACCTTTCCTCCAGACAGTAGGCACCTTTCCCTCCTTCCAGACCTTTTGCAACAATGGAGTCAGCATGTCTGCTGTCGTCTCTGGGTCTGCTTTCAGTGCTTCAGGGGGTATTCCATCTGGTCCGGCTGCTTTTCCAGCTTTCAGAAGCTTGATTGCATTCAAAACTTCAGCTTTCGTTGGAGGATTGGTGTCAACTTGCAGTTGTGTGTGCGCTGTTGTTGGTATTTCTGGACGGGTTGCAGGTGGTGGTCTGTTTAAGAGTCCTTTGAAGTGATCCGCCCATTGTTTAATCTGTTTTTCTTCCTTGGTAATTGGGTTCCCTTGGCTGTCTTTTATAGGTTTCGCTTGTGTTGGTCTCTTCCCGGATAGAGATTTGGTTATCTGATATAATGTCCTCAGGTCCCTTTTGCCTGCTGCCTTCTCAGCTTCAGTGGCGAGGTTATCGTAGAATCGTCTTTTGTCAATCCTAGCACTCCTCTTCACTTCTTTGTCCAATGCTTTGTAAGTTGAGCTCATCGTCTCCTTCTCCTGTCCGTCCTTGCATTGAATCATTTTCTCTTTCACCATTCTCCTCTCTTCTATTAATTTCCAAGTGTCCGTAGAGAGCCATTCCTTGTCTTGTCTCTTCTTTCTTCATAAAACCGTTGAACACGTTTCGTTGAGAATCGCCTTCAGAGACTTCCAATGTTCTTCCACGCATGATTCTTCAGTGCTGTCGCGTAGTGTTTCCTGCTTTGCTCTGACAGTTGCAGTGAAGGTGTCTTTTGTGGTTGTGTCCTTCAGTAATTGAGTGTTGAACTTGCATTGTGGCCTATCCCCAGCTATCCTGCTAGCCTGTTATTTAAACGAAGCTGTTTAGAATCAGAATAAGTACTCGTAAACTCTTTAGGTATTCATCCCAATAACACAAATAAGCTAAACTGTCATAAATTAAATTACTGACTTTTATTGACTCAATTTCATACACAACTGGTACATGCATTGCCGCTTACTTCCCAAATAGACTGTTTTTCTCTACCTTTTCTGAACTGTAGAATGGAGTTTTGTCAATTGATACACTACTCACTGTTGATTTCACATGAAATCTTATTAAATCGTTTGCTTAACGAAAGTCTGTCAGTGCAAAAGAAGCTGGCATATGAATTGGCAATACTTGAAGGAAAGGTAAGTTAACTGTTATTCTTTTATTTCCTTTCTTTGTTTGAAAAAATCAACCTTATTCATATAACTCACCATGATTCAATCCTTTTGTTTGTCATGAATAATTAATGAAAACATAACAAGTAGTTCACCGTAGAGTCTCTTTTCGGCTATTTCATCCACTTAACTGTACAATTGCAATTATATGCAATTATTTTTGTGTGTGTACATCAGGCTTGTGAGACAAGAATAAAAATCAGTTAGGGTTATTGTTTATGTCATCAAAATAATTCAACAAATATGATGGATAATCAAGTTGTAAGTAGGTGGAGGGGGCTGTTGAAGTTTGGTAAGAGGGTAATAGTGATGAGTTGTCTATACATAAAGGAAGTTGAAAAGTGTATCACAGTTAAGTAATAGCATGAGTAATTTAATGAGTGACTTGTAATCAGGACAGAAAAGAGCGGAAATATGCAATTATGTAAGAGTTATAAAGAGTTAGGAAAACAAGCACACAAAAATCAAGTGACTAAAAATCAGCATGGTTGTTACCATGATAGTAGACGTGATTAAATGGTTTTTTGTACGCATAGCTCTGATTTTTCCAACTGAATGGGTAAGGCTTCAGCAATACAAAGGAGACGAAAACTTGTTGCCTTTCGCTGGCTATTCGTCATGTAGTAGATTACCTTGAAGCGGCGATTGTTGAGATGGAGTGGCGAGTTTTGACGTGGTGTTTGATTATCCCACTCCTTGTATGGCATACCTCAACGACCCAACAAGCTATAATGGCTGAAACCATTGTTTTTGCAGGTCCTACTATGCTAGGAAGGTTGTTAGGAAAGCTATCAGACTAAAATCAGTCACCGGTATAGTGTACGAATTTTTCCACACTATGCTGGGGGTCTGTGGGTGAAGTCGCACTGCTGGGGAACAGGGATGTAACATCAGTAAGGTGTTTCCCTCGGATGGCCAGCAAGCCAGCCAGTTATGCTGTTTCTCCGCGCTGGAGAGAGGGGGTTAGAAAATGTTGACCCTAAAAATTGTACATCCCGACTTACCCCACAGTGGTCCGTAACCGGTGGTAAATTTACTGATACCGAACCAATCCAAGAAACCAGTTCATACAGGCCGTGTGTGACCGGCCTGTTATGTACTTGTCGAGTAGTTAATAGTCCTGACGCGGAAAGAGGGAAATCAGAAGACCACCAGGTTTACGATGATACTTGTATTTTCCAGACAAGGAAAATAAATTTCACACAAGTGTGTAAGTGGAAGGGTACTTAGATGTACGAAGAAGTATGTGAACAAGAAAGTGAACAAGTGTCTAATACAAAATTATATATGGAAATGGCTGATACACATGAACCAATAAGACAGTTTTAACATGATTGGTTGTATTGTCGTATGACAACAAAGTAATACATGTTTATTTAGCTAGTGGACAGACAAAAGCATATTGTCAGTTATAATGGAATATCGATCCATATACACATAGCAAAATATAACAGACTTTCAAAAACAAGCACACACATCATGTGACTACATATCACCTCCCCTTTTGAGGTGGATAGGACATGTGTTACGCATGCATCCCTGGCCATTGCCTTCCTCGACGGGCAATGTTAGCTGACAAACGATGGATCAGGTTGGAAAGGATCCAGTGGTGGTCAAACCAAAACATGGCATCAATCAATGAAATCTACAACAGTTGGTTTAAGCCACGTTGGGAGGTGTTGAATGGCTTCCTTGTTCGAGTCCTCGGGACGGTAAAAACCAATGCTTGGAGACAATTGCTGATATGGCTCAAAATCGTTCTCAATGGTGCAGATTCATTTACTGCTTGTGACATATGATATCCAACAAAACTATATTGTTCTTCGATATTACTATTATTTTTGCCTCATATCTCTGTTTACTGTCTCTGTTTTGCATTTCTTTCTGCTTTCTTCTCTTGCTTTGTGTGCTACATGGAGTGTGGCAACTCTAACTGCTACACATTGGTGCAAATTTCTCCATTGAAGTCAATCATTCAATCTTTTATGCATGGACAGCTCATCACTGTAACCTTCCCACCAAACTTTAACCCCCCACACCTACTTACAGTTTGATTGTTCATCATATTTGTTGAAATATTTTGATGACACTTGCACTCCTGATGTACAACCACAAAACAGTTACATATATTTTGTGTTGTACGGCTAAGTGAATGAATTCGCCGAAAACAGACTGTTCGGTGAATTATGCGTTGTGCTTTTTTTATTGATTATTTTAAAACAGAAAGTTTTTGTTCTTCGCATTTAGCGTGGAACTTAGTATTTCCTGCTTTTGAATTTTCACTGTTGCTGGTAGAGATTAGCTTGCATCACGCAGAACCTTCTCTGTCTTCCGGGCTTAATATCGGCGAATGCTAGATGCAAGAGTACTTTGATCCAAAGTGAACCTTTAGCACGTGAATGACTGGGAAACATTCTACCATTTGATCACTAACCAGCTAAAATAGATCTCGTACTTCATTGGGTTTACTAGGATACCATCACAGTATATTCAGAGAGACGATACTCTGAAATGAGTATTATAAACAAAATGAACCATAGTAACTATCACCTGAGGGGATAATTATCCGTTTTATCTTTATCTGCGTTACGTTATACCAGTTACTCAACGAAATTCATTTAAATATAAACCTGAGGTGGGTAAATTATAAAAGAAGGTAATAGAAAATCGTTTGAAGGTTTCTACACAATATATAGTAGGTAAGGAGACGTAGGATCTGTTCAAAATTTTATTTTTGATAATCAAATTGTTGTATGAAGTTCGCTTAAATTATTTTTAATCTTTGACTCACGAGTCTATTGTGAAAGTAATATGTTTTCATATATACGAATTCTCTGATCTGCAATAAACTTTTCAAATTTTTCTCAAATAAGTGAAATCTAATCGACTCTCGAGTTTTACTTTTTCTCCTTTCATTTTTATATTATTATTATTATATCCTTTAATTCCTAGAGGAACATAGGGCTTCAGCTGCACACCTCCATTGCCTTCTGTTTTCTGCCAACTTTTTCACCCCTCTCCAAGTCTGCTCACATGCTTTCATCTCCTCCTCGCATGACCTCCTCCAAGTCACCCTTGCACTGACGACCAACTCGTCGCTTCCCTTTCGGGTTCCACTCGAGGGTTTGTCTAGTGATTTCACTTGATGGTTTCCTCAGAGTATGACCGATCCATATCCATTTCTTCCTGCCTATTTGTTTCACAATCGGTTCCTGATTGGTTCGCTCCCAGAGATCACTGTTTCTGATCTTTTCTGGCCATCTGATCTTGAGTATTGAGCGAAGACAACTGTTGATGAAGGTCTGAAGTTTGTTTGAGATGCTCCTTATGACTCGCCAAGTCTCTGATCCGTATAGAAGCACTGACTTCAAGTTGGAGTTGAAAATCCGGACCTTATTTTTGATGCTGAGTGCTGTTGACCTCCACACAGACTTAAGAGTAATGAAAGCCTGCCTTGCTTTTCCGATTCTGGCTTTGATATCCTCGTCAGTTTCGCCTGTAGTTGAAACGATACTTCTCAGGTGGTTAGGTAAAGGAGGTTGTTTCTTTCAGGTTCCTCCCATTTATGCTGATTGCTGTCTGTTGTTGTTGCTGTTAGCCAGGAATCTTCATTGCCTCTGTTTTCTCTATATTCACTTGAAATCTTATCTTCTGTGGATGCTTAAACTGCCAACTTGTTGCTTTTCACTTGCATATCTTCCATTTTGTGGGAAATCAGACATATATCATCGTGGGCGGTGTCCAGATCCACTAAGTTCTTTTTGTGTGAGTCCATTTTATGCCTGTTTCCTCATTGCCCGTTGTCTGTCGCATTATCCAATCTACTGCAATCAGTAAGATCATTGGCGATAATAGACAGCCTTGCCTCACTCCCGTCCTCACTTCGAAGGCTTCCGTAAGTTTCCCGTTGTGGATTACTTGGCGTGCAGCATTGTCGTATAACTGTTGGATGAGATGTATAATTGTCGATGGGACCCCGTAGTAGCGAAGTAGTTTCCAAATGACCTCTCGATCGACGCTGTCGAAGGCCTTTTCAAAGTTGATGAAGTTGAGATAAAGAGGTGACTGCCATTCCAAGCTTTGTTCAATGATGATTCGTAGAGTGGCGATTTGATCAATACATGACTTGTTTCTCCTGAATCCAGCCTGTTCCGGTCGAAGTTTTTCGTCTAGGGTTTTTTAATTTTCTCCAGCATGAGGCTTAGTGATTTGCTCGGGATAGATAGGAGCATAATTCCGCTCCAGTTCTTGCATTGACTTAAGTCTCCTTCCTTCGGTGGTTTGAATAAGTATCCTTTCTTCCAATCCTCGGGTACCTTACCCTCTTTCCACACCTTCTCTAGTAGTGGTGTCATCAAGTCCGCTGTTGTCTCTGGGTCCATTTTCAATGCTTCTGTGGGGATTCCGCCTGGTGCTGTTGCTTTCCCAGCTTTTAGCATCTTGATTGCCTTCAGGACTTCTGTTCTCGTCGGGAGTGGGGTTGATGTTGACTGGTAGTTCTGCTTCCGTTGTTGGTATTGTTGGGTGCGTTGTAGGTGGCGGTCGATTTAGAAGTCTTTTGAAGTGTTCAGCCCAGTGTTTCATTTGCTTCACCTCTTTGGTGATTGACTTTCCTTTGTCATCCTTCACTGACTTAATCTGTGTCGAACTTTTTCCCGATAGGTTCCTAGTTGTTTGGTAGAGTGTTGTGAGGTCTCCTTTGCCTGCAGCTTGTTCCGCTTCACTTGCCACGGCCTCATAATATTTCCTTTTGTCTTCCCTGGCACTCTTCTTCACTCTTATGTTCAGCGTATTGTAGCTGGCATTCAACTCCTGTTTTTGTTGCTCGTCGGTGCACTGGATAATCTTTTGTTTCCCCATCCTTCTCTCTTCTATTAGTCTCCAGGCGTCCACAGTGAGCCACTGTTTGTCCTGTCTCTTCTTTCTGCCTAGAACTTCCATGCAGGTTTGACTCCACACAGTTTTCA